CCAACGTGTTTACTTTTTTATTTAATTGAGTTTTCTGACCCAAATTGGCCAAGGTAATTAAGCCCGAGAGTGCTTAAATGTTACTTTTTAGTTTCATTGCTTAATAAAAATTAGTACGTCAAAACTAGACTATGATACTTTTAGTCACACTCTGATGGACCTACAAAGAGCGTGAAATAAATGTACGAGGGCAATTAGAAAGAGATCTGCCTAGCTATTTTTTTAACAAGTCATCCTCAGGGAGAATTATAACTATCTGTAAGAATTTTACTTCTCATCTGAGGACGACCAGTTTGCGTCGTGTTTAAAAAAAACTACAATTTAAGTAATGATGTGGACTACAAGATCAGGTCGGCAAGGAGGCTGACTAGAGAGTTGAGCGGTATGATTGCACGATTTGTACAGTTCACAGTGAAGTGAGGTCTGAGGCTATACATAGACTTAATTTCAATTAACGATGTTAATATGAATAATATGTGTTAAAGATAATTAAAGTTGTAATATGTTGTTGTTTGCATAGTGATTATGAAAGTTGAATTTTCATCACGTTTAATCGTATAGAGAGTTATACTTTTTTAAACGATTTCTATAGTTACAGGGTGTTTCACACAACTTTACGAGGTTTGCGCCTAATGTACGCACCCAAATATACAAAAGTCACAAACCACTGGATACAAAAAATAAACATTTAACTATTTAATTTTTGGAAACCCTTGACAGTAGTTGTCAAACTAATCACTGTTTCATTAATAGTCATAAACTGCTGTTTTTCAGAAACAATTATCATTTGTTCTATCAAGAGACTGCATAAATATGATTCTAGTTTATCTATCTTAAGTACTAACTAACTAACAACGTTGTAATTTTTGAAAGGCTGAACAAACTAGAGAAGATTATCCTATTTTTCAAAATTTGTAATCGAGTTCGCATCGAAATATGTATTATTGATTGCATCTTACAGGCGCAGGCCTCGTAAAATTTTGTAAAACACCCTGTATATCTCTATAGTTTCTATAGAGTTCGTTACAAAGAGCTCGCAATACATTACGATTTGATTTATCAAAGAGATATCTTTTTGGTCTTTGGGGTTGTTGGGGTCATTACTATGCAAAAAAATGTTGTGTACAACTCGTTTTGAAAGTCATTTTTTTCACTCATTTGCTTCATTAACTCAGGCAGAGCCCTCGTTAATCAACTGCAAATTCTTGAAAAAAAGTATGACTGTCAAAACTATTAATAGTTTGTTGACGCAAATACTCAACACTTTTTCCTTCATTACAAAATGAAGTCTACAGCGGATAGACCAACCAGCACAGTATAACTTTTTTACTCCGAAAAATTCTTGCATCAGCTTTTTTTCCTGATGGAGTTTTGTCTTCTCTAGTAAAAAAAAATAACACCTTGATGCTCTTTCTTTTACCGTTTCAAAGATTCATAATGTTTTAAATGAAAAAATAATGTCATCGTATAATTTGAACTATAGAATCAATTAGAGTCAGCCGATATAAACAAATAATTTTTCAGTCAAAATCTTTAAAAAAAAAATCTATAAAAATTCAATTTAATGTGCATGTAGCTAATGATTTTCTAGCTGAAAGCGCAATGTCATGTATAAATTGTCCCAAACCTTCCCACAGTGTAACTCAACAGGGAGTCTTAACTCAAGTGATAGTAGCAAAGATAATAAATATTTTACTTCATACTAACAGCTAGAGAACATATGAGGCCTGTTAAGTCCCCAAGAGTCAATAGGATATAAAAGTATAGGTCGCGTATGGACTAAAAATAAAACGCAAAGTGATCACACATTTACTCAAGTTTATTGTACGAAGAATAGTCTGTTTCCAAACTGTCACAATGAACAATTATGTCAATAAACCCAATTACGACAATTAACCATGCCGCAGCCCTTGTAGCCATACTTAGAATGCATTCCATTACAACAGTCAACTAATCAGAGTAATCAAAGCCTACGTTAACCCTTTGTGCCCCCAGATCTAAATGTATTATCACGCATAAATCGTGAAATCAATAAGAATCCCCTGCTGAGATCTTTGGTGTAAGGATTTGGCTCTTTTCGAATGCATGTGCAACATTTGCCTAACTGATTGATAAATATTTGAGATAAGGAGAAAATTAAAATTTGGCTTTCTTACCGACATGCAATACATTGATCCTAGATTAAATATTCATGTTTATGTTCAGTTTAGTAATAATACAGTTATTTCTGTTCTTGTTACAGGTTCAACACGTTTCATTTCCATTAATGTCGCTCTTGATTGTACAATATTAGTAAAATTGCAGTTACAATTAGAAGTAAGTACAGGAGTAAAAGCTTATAAGAAGAATTCGCCAGATGGTGGAAACGTCACATTCACGCCTTGTGAAAGATATTACAAGTACAGAAAGAGGGGGCGAAGTGATATCACACAAGTCCCAACAGAAAATGTAATAACAGGAATCGATCATTTATAATAATGTTGCGGGGATTAATGTGCGTTTGATAAAAATGGGAGAATTTATTTTTGACTATCAGAACTGTGTCATCTTTTGACTCGGAGTATTTATGTAAAATACCGATATCTGATGAAACGTCCCAATAAAGTGGGTAAAAAGCAATAACTCAAACGTGTAAATAAAACTGCGTGGAAAGAAAAGACAAAAATCACGGAAACTACAAAACGAATTATAGGAAGACGAAACCTCATCGATATTCACCGAGGAAGCCTTCTCTTATTGCATAGTGCGAAAAGCTGATTGTGTAAAAATCATGTGAGTACAGATGATTACATTTCCTTTTTCGGATCTCCTCCTATTACTCGCCTTGACGTTCAGAATGTCAAAATAAAAGGAAACAACCGACAGGAAGGGATCTAAAAAGCGTCCATATAAACTCAACTTAAGAAGAATCCAAATCGACCCCAAACTCAAGTTTTACTGCATCTAAAATTCCAAGCGGGAAGCTATGCCAATTTAATTATAACGGCTCTCTCTTTTTTCACATAGTGCACTTTTCCGACGTTTAATTACTCACAAAATAAATTTTACGTTTGAATACTTCCAAATTGACCATAATTTTAAATAACGAGCGCTGATAATAACATAGAAGCCAACCAGCGGAGCTTTTCACTTAATACAAAAATGTTGTAATTTCAAGTTTTTTTAATAATAATCTATTGCAAAGAGCAGATCTGCGTTGACATTTTATCTCTCGAATATTTAGGAATTTGCTTATTAATTTCAGATGTATAAACGCCTCAAAACGCTTTATTCTACACGCTTTTCAAGGATGACGGCAAATCGATATGAAATTTCGTTGGAGTATGAATGAGACTTTATTTTGCAAACCTATGTCAATGGCAAAAATTATAAACTGCTCCGAACAGACATAACAAATGGTGCTCTTCACCAGACATGACAATATCATATTATGTAGAACTAGAGGGATCATTTTTTTTATCAATTTTGTTCACAACGTTAAAATCAAATAAAATGGAAAAATACCAATATATTTTTTTCAAATTTCGACAAAAACATTAATGCGAAACAAAAACGAAAACAACGATTTGCTTTTCTTTTGTTGAGGTTTTACTTTCTCAGGACTCCTATAGAATCCTTAAGGATATAAAACCGAGTTTTATTCGTAAAACAAAGTCATTGAGACTGAACCCGTCTTCTACGTGATACAGAAACTGAAAATTCGATTCTGGTGATTTACAAATTCCTGCAATTATGGAAACTACACGACTCCGGAATTTTTCTTGCCTAGGAACGCTTGATATTTTCCAACTAGAAATGTAGAGGTGCTGGCTCATCTCAAATTTTATTCATCATTCTGAAATCGTGATTTTACTGAATAAATCCTGTTTGAATATCTAGAAAGAGAATGGTGGATCAGAACAGTACAGTGAATTTGCAACCTCTCTCAATAATTTGCTAACCCAATCTTAATCGCTTTCTCTACTTTTTCAAAGGCTGCTTCTGGCAGGGATCCAGCTCGTGTCATTATTTCAAAGGAAGCGTGCTCTTGAGACGCCTCCAATGTTATTTCATATACATATTCCGCATATGTCATACTTTTTAATTTTTTTAATTAAACAAACAGCAGTCCCAAATAATAAGTGTCATAATTAACAGCTAGAGCTGAAGCTTGTTCTACATTTAAGAGAATCTAAACTTTGTTGTTTAATGAAAATTCTTTTCGTTGGAGAATGCCGTTTGTACCTGCATAAAATGCTCACATTTTGTGAATATTTCAAGCGGAAAAATTGATTGTGACCAAACACCGGTGGTATCAAAGAAACGTCAAAGAGAGCTTTGAGGTAAGGCTTTATTTTTGTTTATAAAAAAAAAATTCTTTGGTACTGTCACATGACGAGATCAAATCTTGCATTTGAAGAATTATAAAAGAACAAATCTGGATCGTCTTTATGATAAAAATGTGAATTCGTCGTATCTGTCAAGAAAGTGATTTTTTCCTTTTGTGGACTCAAGTTGTTCGCACAATATATTTCCGTGGCATTTTAATATAATAGATTGAATACTGGCGTCTAAGACTCTCCCAACAAAATAGCGTAATAAAAGGAAAGCTATTGAATGAGCCCTTCAATAACTGAAAAATTTTTCTCATTAAAGTTAAATTAGAAATCATTGAAACGAAGAAATTACAAACGTGGGTTTTTATGTGCACCTGTGGCTTCTTCGAACGACGCTAAAACCCTAGCCTCCCAATAAATTGTTTTTTATTAAAATACGGCCCACTCCGCATGCAAAACGAACGTAATCAAAAGAGTTATACAAAATCGATGTTCCCACTCAACCCGACATATATTTTTATGATTAAAAAAAATGCATACCAATCTTCTGAAACATGTCTCCCTAATAAAAATTCGGTCCCAATTAAAAAAAAAATGTTCTGTGGTAATGAAAAAATGTAAATGTGTCCTGCAAGCCACGTGATTTTGACGCAGAAATTTAGCCCAAAATTCAGTATTGCCTACCTGAAGCAACTCCCAGCACATCAACAAAATTGCGTAAATCGCGCCAACACAATAAATTTGGATTCACTGAAAATACGCGAAAAGTTCACGCGCGCTTTCCTCGAAATGCAATTGTAGTAACCCTCTCACAGCGACGCTTTCGAGCAGACTGCGCGGAACTCGCATTTGGAATTCCGTTTGGGGCCGAACTCAACCCTCCTGATTATGAACAAGGACCGCACGCGTCGAGGGCCCATCATCCTTAATACTCGACACATCTCGGCCAATTTTTAACTTTATTTCCAATCGGAAGAGGCTTTAGGCCTTAACTCAGAGCTTTGCGGAGAGCTTACGCCTGAAAAGTGGACGCTTGCGACTGAAACTGTCATTAACGACCGAATTGTGGACGGCCCTCCGACTCTGAATCACTGAAAGTGCACAAACTCGGAGGCCACAATGCGATAATTCGCATGCACGGACCGGGGATGGATAAATACACTTCGCTTCACTGACATAATTATCCGAGTTTAATAGAATTACAAAGGAAAACGGATACAAACAAAATTGGTGTCTCAAACTTTCCTATCACTAATTTCTTCTTTCTGTAATCTCGAACGAAGTAACGGGGAGTAAACCCATTCCAAATATAGCTTTAAAGCAAAAATAAATAGTTTAAATTTTCACTTTGTGGTCAAAACGCGTGGTGGATCAAAATAAACGATTGGTACATGTTTTAAAATTAATAATGTGTTATTTCATTCCCGACACTAAGAGGTCGATAAGAATATAAAAAAATATATACAAAAAATATAAAAACTCAGACACCTGCGTTACGAAACAAATTTCTCTAAATATTTATTATTTATTCACTAACATTAAAAGAAAGGAATTGATGAACGCAAAATAGTAATAACTATTATGAAAACTTTTGCATATTCCGCGACGTTCCTGTGATTATATAACGATTTTTGATTCGTCAGTTTTAGTAGTGTATAAACTCATTTAAAGCCATGAAAGTATACCTTCCAACTTTAGTTCACTTACGACTATTTTTATGTTTTTCATCGCATTTGGACAGACAGTCGTACGTTATTTTTACCTTTTTAAGGCCGAGTTTTATAAAAAAAAATTATTGCCTTTAATCTTGATTTAAACCCCTTATCAACGATTGTTGCAAAAATTGTTATTATGGGTTTAATTCAAGATTAAAAACGATTAATTTTTGTGAATGTTGTGTTTTTTTATACATAGTAAAAGAACTGCTAAAAATAAAATTTTTTGTTTTGTGAAATAAAAATAATGTATAGATGTTGTTTCTAAACGACTTTTCTTAATAAGTTTTTCCTATTTGCCACGTAAAAAGCACTTTAAACTACAGAAAAAATGTTTTTTTTTGATAATTTCCAAGGCAAACTTGATTTTTCAAAACTAAAATTATGTCAGAAATTTAAATCAAGAATTTTTTATTTTTACAAGTGTGTTTGCACCAATCATCAGTCTTTACCAATAAATAAATGTAAAACAGAATTATTCGTATTTTTGCTGTGGAAACAGTTAGCGCGCGATGATTTACTTTTTAATCCGTGATTATGCCCATTTAGGGAGAATTTTGATAAAGTTTGACCATTTGAAAAAAGCACACATTGATTATCTTTAAGTGGGATGTTCAACTCGCTCGTATGTAAAAACAATGATGATAGCGACATTTTTGGAATAGTATTTCGCAACTCTGTCCTATACCTCAAATGCTTGACTTGGTTATTTGATAAATATTTAAATTTCATTAAAATACTTCACATAGATCTCTCCACTGCAACTTTCTGTAATTCTACCCGATACAAAAATTTTAAAATACCATCTACTCATTAGGAAACAAAGCAATTCTTTGCGTTAGCACCCCGCGTTTTAACACTTTCGAACAAACTTTAAATAAATACCAGAGATAACGCTAACATTAATTAATTTTGTTTAAATTTCCCATTAAAATCGATGTAGCTGCTGCTTGTGGATTAATGGAAGCAGTCATTTTCTGCTTGATGAATTTCATTCAATTGAATGAAACAAATATAGAAGTAGTACATAAGTAATAGTTTTTTTTAAATTTAAAAGGAAATTTAATTTAGATAGAGAAGTGCCAAACCCCAAACTGCATACTGATTGGGGGAGATAAAGGAGGATAAAATAGGCCAAAACCAATTAACAAAATTTATGTACATACCTACTTATAAATAGATAACGCAAGACAAAGTTAATTAATTATTAAATAACTTAAGTAATTAATAATTTTAAAACAAATTGATGTAAATTTGTTCTTGGTAAAGAGCTTCCAAATCTTATTTCTAATTTAAAAATTAAATATAGCTTTCAGTTTTTCGTGTATTATTTTTGTGGTAAGTTTTTTACACATATTCATGCACTGTTTTACATAAAAGGTCAACAAATAAATTCCATTAGTTATAACAGAGTCTCGCTCGAAGTAAATATATTTAACTTCTCTCACTTGAAATCGCATTGACTTAACATGAGATAATGAATAGTTTATGGGCAAAAGAGCAAACTATAATGTGTTGAAGTCATGAAAAATGTATAAGGTGCAAATTAGGAAAATTATTAATGTAGATTATCCTCGAAAACACATAAAAAAAAACCTTTTCCAATATCCTTCCCATACGATACCACTACTTTAAGAGAACCATTATGTCATTAGTTTCGTTGCAATTTTCCACGATATAAAACCTTAGACGAGACACTTTTAGTTAAAAGAAAATAAAATAAATCGTCTTCGGATCTTTTATCGGTACTTGGCTAGAGTTTAATGCAAATTAAATGAGACTTTTTCGGAGTATTTCCTTTTATTAAAAAGGAATTTGTTATAATTATTTAGCATTATAAAAAAGTACAACAAAGAAATGATTTCACTGAAGGCAAGCTACTAATTAAAGCCTTGCTATTTTATAAATTCTGGGTACAGTTTTCTTTCAGAATTTAAGACATTTTCCTTCCAAATAATGACCCTAATCTTTGATGACTACTTTCGCCATCTCCTAATTCTTTTATTTCTGACCCTTGCATACTCAACTAGCTGTGCCTGTGAGAGTTGAGTATAAAAAAAAACTTTGAATTCGTAATTGTGGCATTACGTGTTTGATCTTGCATAAATCTATAATACGAGTATATGCAACTAAATACTTAATAAATAAAATATAATCGATAATACCGTGAGTTACATGCAAAGCGACGTAATAATTTCAGTAATCAACAATTTGTCAACTCTAGGAAGAATACAACTATGCAGTGCTTAATAGAACAACTATCGATTGGCTTAGTATTTCGCCAGAAACAAGGATCATATATTTTGAAATAACTCAGAATAAAAATATCTGAGCGTGAGTTATCGTCTCACGAGAATACCACCACAAAGACATATTTTACTTAAAATATCCAACATATAATACCATATCGCAATACCACACATAGCAGGTACAGTAATTTGCATATTGCACTATATTATTGCTCAGTGGGAAATTAAGTTTCATTAGAATTAATTAAAGCGCGAACACAGTTTACGAGCAACTTGGAAATAAAATCCTGCATTAAAATTTCATACTAATGCTCCAGTTTTATGGTCTTACACAAAACTTTACTAATTATATATATAATTATTTTTTCAATGGAAGAAGATTGATTTTACTGTCTTTCGTCGTTCATTTAATAAGAATTTAATTCGGAAAAAATACTAATAAATTTTGTCCATAACTGAAAATAAACTGGTGGACTGCAGTAATTTGAATATATTACTTCGTAAAGTAACGAAGTTCCTTAATCAACTCTTATATAAAACCAATATAACCGGAACTGTATTTATATTATATCAAGTTGGACTCGACTAAGTACTTTATTAATATTTATTGAAGCAGAAACAAACATTTTCTAAACTATTTTATATGCTCACAATTAGCAACATTCAAAAGAGATAATGATACATATTATTTTAAATACAGTGATAAACGAGTATCGTTTTTCAGCTTATGTTTGTTTACCATTAAAGTTGGATAAACTGTGGTTTTACATAAAATCGATCCCTTTGAAATATTACAAATGTTTATTGGGAATAAACTGATAATCTGGATTTTGAATTTGTTTAGCCTTCTACGTTGTAAGTATTTTTATTTTTATGATACGAAAATTTTAAAAATATTGCGATCACATTCATTAAAAATTTAGATCAAAGCATGTTTTTTATTAGGAGTTAATGTTTTTACTGAAAAGATTCGATGATATCAAAATATATGTAAAAAACGCCACAACAAACAAATCTATACCGTACGTAATTAGCTTAGTTGTAATTCATGAAGTTATTTCAAAAATTCAATCGGATATTGAATAATTAAAGCAAATATGGAAATTTTAAGTGATTGAAAATACTAATGAGTTTGGAGTGTCAACACAAAAAAAACATTTTTACAAATAATGACAATAGGACTGTTTGTTGGTAAAATAAAATTAGAGTTTTAGATTGAAAGCCCTTTATCTCAAATATTTTCGTTGAGAACAGTTATACACATTCACATAAATTAAAACATAATTGCTCAATTTTGGAATCCGTCGGCGGGAATTTTATCCACCTTATACAGATCTACAAAAAGAGCAAGTGCGTTTTTCAAATCATAATGGCATTCTTCCAAACACCTACAACAAAAATTATTCTTTATCTAATTAAAAGCACAGTAACCATCCATACTTTTTAGCCCACTCAGTGGTCAAATTAGTAATCAGTTTCATTGCTGTAATAATCTGACTTTTTTGTTTCGGAGTTTGGGCAGGTGGAAGCATTTGTGGTCTGATGGGCCTCTCATGTTTAAATGCTTTTACTTGCTGTGATGTCAATGCATTGAACACATGCATTTGTTCATTGATAATACAATATTCTCCATTTATGGATTCAAGTGCAAAGCACCGATTAAAACCCATAAACCTTTCCGCGTCTAAAATTGACTCTGGTAGTTCTTTAAAGACACCAGTGACAACCACAATGGCACAAACGTCCTAAATTAAAACATTTTCATGTTGAATAAATATTACTGGTTGCATAACATACCGAATAATGTATTAAATCAACTGTAAAAGAATATGGATCGTGTTCTGATGGTGGCAACAAATTCAACAAATCTATAATAGCTTTACTTCCTTGTTGTAAATTTAAATCACTCCGAGATAAGTCTGCTAAAGATAGAACATTTCTGGAATACGTCTTGTAGCGTTTTAACCTGTATTTTGAAAAATGTCATGACTAGTAAAATATTTCAATGAATTGATTACTGTGCTGAAGGTGAAGATAACTGCATAGGGTGATAATCCGCAGTTAACGAGAAAAGAGCACCTTTGTGATATAAATTTTTAAGCATAGCTCTGTTTGAAGAGTCATAAGAAGTGAAGTAATATTCTAGAAATTGATCAACTAAATCATGACCAGAGCTGTTACACAAAAAGTTTCTTCTAAATGAAGGAAAGCCGTTGTGCTTCAATAAAACACCATCCTAAAAGAAATGAAGCACACAGAAAATAAATCAGTAGTATTTTTACATTTTTACTTACAAGTCTTTCAATTTTTGGACAATACTCCTTAACCCGTTGGATGTAAGTATGTTCGTCATAATTATCACATAAAGGATTACCTTCCAACCAAAGCTCAGTAATTTTGAGTTGTGTTAAAGGTTCAAGTTCAGTCAAGCTCATTATTAGATTGTTTCTCAAATCTAAACTTGTCACATTAATTCCCCATAAAGCTTCAATTGGAACCAAGCTTCTAATTTCATTATTACTTAGGATAATAGATTTGGGTTTTGATAATCTTGATAAATGCAACACATAAGACATCAATTTGGGTTGAGATAAAATACAGAACTCTGATAAATCAGAGTCTTGATAGAAATTCTCAAGATTTATGGTGGAAGTGGCTGTGTTTGTTCTTTTTCTTAACACTTTTGAAATATTTTTGGAAACATCAATTTTCACATCGTTTGTTGTTGAATACCTTAATATAATACTGAGCTTAAACTACAAATACAAATTAGAAACAAGTTATATAAATCAACTACACACCTACTGGCTGATTTTTCACATAAGGATTATCAATGATCAAATTATCTTTGCAGATTTTTTCTATTGCTGCTCCACAATTCCTTGCAAGAAAAGAAGCAGAACTGCCTTCTTTTAAGAAGAAAACTGGAATTAAGTCTAATGGTTGCACATGATCTAGAATTGTTTTCAAGATCAGGTCTCTACTAAAATCTTCAGCGTTATTCACCTAAAAACAAGCTTTAAAAGAAGAGAAACGTAATAAGTAAACACCCACAATAAACTTATGCCAATAAATGGGGTTTTCCAAAACTTCCTTGTTTTTATAAAGAATCCCAGTCTGTAATGAAAAATCATTTACGATAATAGCTTGCACATTTTGTCGAATTTTTTTCGCGTCTAAATTTGTAATCGACTGAGACTCGCCACCAAAAAACAAAGTTGAAGCCATTTTTAGGTTATATTATAAAATTCCTCCAAATAAAAACGCTTCTAAATCTATCACACTAATAAAATAAAACTCGGAAGTTTATCAATTGAAATGATTAAACTCCTAAAAGAATTAAATCACTCAAAATATTTTTTATCTTTTATCAACACGAAAAAACACAACACAGAATTGGAACATGCGCACGATTGTTGGCCAATTCAGTGCTACCAATGCCTTCACGTAATTTAATTAAAGAATACGTAAGGATTATAAATTTAAACAATTATTAATGGCTTAGATTTGCTGTAATTGTCAAATATTAATAAATCGTAATGCTTTTTGTTGAGTTAAAAAGTAAAGTTATTTGAGTTACAGGCAAAATCTCCTGTTAATTGAGTTTCATAGAAGGCTTTGTTTTAAATGTAGGTTGGCAAAACCTAAATTTTTGAAAACTAAAACAAACACACAGGTACCCCGCATGTGCACTGTGTCCACGTGTTTAGAATTATTAATTATGATTAATTATCAGTTTTTACTTCGTGATAAAATACTTTTCTTGATGATTTTGCAGATTTTCTATAGTAATCTTTTGATACAAAAGTGTTGACTCGGTTTGTAATGTCAACACTTTTTACGACAACACTCAAGTAAGTGGATTTCAGTCAAGATTTTTTTCAAGTTTTTCATAATGTTTTTGGTGTTATTATAAACTTTTTTTAAGCTTTCAGCTACAACATGGACTTTAAAACAGTTACCCCATCCCCAGATGCTATAACCCTCAATGAAATAAATGTTTGTTTAATTAACCAATGTAAAGCGCTTCTAGATGTCAAGACATACTGGCACAAATTCTATGTAAGCGTCATTCTTTTACCAGAAAAAAAACTTATTTTGTTTGTAGATTATAGAAACTTATGGTTTAACGCGTAACTTAGTATTAAAAACTCTCTTAGAACACATACAACCTTTAGAACTTATCCCCTTGTGTTACACAGAAGAAGGCAAAGGTGCATACTTTTTTGCAAGAAATTGTAGCCAAGTTATTAAAAAATTTTGTAGTGACAAATTAACAGTACATAACCCATTTGACTTTAGGAAACCTGTAAGATATACAATTGTAATAGGCATAATTCAAAATAATCAATTTTTTAGTTCAAGCTAAAAATAGCCCTGAAATATACCACCACTTGTAATGTAAAAGTAGACCACTACTGTAGAAATGTTCTGAAAGTTTTACAAAAACGTCTCAAATCACACATTTTGTGTTTAAATAATTTTGTGGAAGATCCAGATTTGAATGACTTTCTTCTATTATCAGAACCAAAACTTCTAGCTTTTGTATTAAATGTCGCAAAAATTTTAAAACCTAAAATCATCAAGTTGTGTAACAATGAAATTAAATCGTTGGAGGCTCTAAGAGTTTTACCTGCGCAAAGTATTAACGCATTGGATTTAAGAAATAATTTAGTATGTTGTTTCTTATTTGTAACATTCACTTAGTTAATTAGTAACTTTTCAGATCACAAATCTTACTGAATTAAAACATTTATCGATTTTCGATATTACTGAATTGTGGTTGGAAGGAAATCCTCTGTGCGATTTGTATGACGAATATAATTACGTGGAACAAATAATTAAATACTGTCCAAAAATCGAAAAACTTGTAATATAGTAAATACTTTACTGTAGGTATCTCTATAGATTTGTAATAATTTACAGGATGGTTTTTTACTGAGGCAAAATGGAGTTCCTTCATTTAGAAGAAATTTCTTATGTGATGTTTCAGCATATGACGTTATTGATCAGTTTTTGGAAGATTATTTTCCAACTTACGATTCCAAAGACCTTGCTAAACTTGAGTCATTTTATCACAAAGATGCCTTATTTTCTATGACGGCGGAACAGTTTCACAATCAAGTTTCATCAGCAACTTCGCAGTATTTAAACACGTGTTTGCTTTCTGTAATTCTGAAATTTTAATTCTAGTATCAAATCATACAAACAATACTCCAGGAATTTGATGGATACACCAAACCGGGACTCCAATTTATACATTGGAAGTCGTGAAATAGTCAAATTATTTGAGTTGTTACCACATTGTGAACATGATCCTTACTCGTTCACAGTTGATGTGATGCATTACTCTGTAATTTTTATTCTGTTTTGAAAAGCACTAATAATTATATTTTAGAAGAAACTTGCCATTATTATTGTAACGGGAGTCTTTATGGAAATCCCTTATGTTAAAAGAATTTTAGGATTTAACAGATATTTCATTCTGGAATGTCGGGATAAAAATTTTCGTATTGCAAACGAGCAACTTCACATATTTAACGCTTTAAGTTCCCAACAAGCCAAGGCATTTAAAAAACCGAGAGTTTTGCAAGAACCTCGAAATGAGACTCAGAAGAACCAAATGTTGAACACATTTGCCATTATTACAAATCTGACCAAAGAATGGGCCAAAATGTAAGAGAAAAATTAAGCAAAAGCGAGTCATATTTTTTTTCAGAGTTTTAGAAGAGTGTCACTACAATTTGAAGCATGCCTTGTTAGTTTTTATAGATTTGTATAAAAGTGATAAAATCCCATCTCACGGGTTTAAGACTTATGATTAATGTTTTTAAGTATCATTGTTACATTGAATAAATTCTGGTATGTTCTCATTATTTTTTATTTCACCCAAGTGACCTAAATAAACAAAACTTTCAACCTGACATTTAAGTAAAAATGTTTAAACTCTCAAAACTCTTTAACCCGATATCGAAACATTTGCGAAATTTGCAACCTAGACTTCGATTCTCTTCAGTAAGCCCAACTCTAACTCCACAAAAAAAAACTTGACCTTTTTTCCAGGAAAGCGAAGTTCCAGTTTTTGACCACTTTTATGATTGCTTGGTGATCGGTGCTGGCGGGGCAGGGCTTCGAGCTGCCTATGGTTTGACATCGAAAGGTTTCAATACTGCTGTTGTGACAAAAATTTTCCCGACTCGGTCCCACACTGTGTCAGCTCAAGGCGGCATAAACGCAGCCCTAGGTCCACCTTAAAATTTACAAAACCTCTCCTAACACCACATTGCAGGTAACTACGAACCAGACAAGTGGTACTGGCACTTCTTCGACACCGTCAAGGGCTCCGACTGGCTAGGCGACCAAGACGCCATTCACTACATGACCAAAAATGCCCCCACTGCAATCTTAGAACTGGAAAATGTCGGAATGCCATTCTCGCGATTCAAAGACGGCAAAATATATCAGAGGGCTTTCGGGGGACAGTCTTTGGAATGTGGGAAAGGGGGCCAGGCCCATAGGACTTGTGCGGCGGCTGACAGTACTGGCCAGTTTATGCTGCACACGTTATATGGACAAGCAGTAAAATACAATTGCAAATTTTTCGTCGAGTATTTCGCTTTGGACTTGATGATGGATGAGGATAGGTGTTGTGGAGCCATTACTTGGGATTTGAGTAGTGGGACATTCCATCGCTTTTTTGCAAGGAATACTGTTATAGCGACTGGGGGGTACGAAAGGGCATATTTTTCGTGCACAACAGCGCATACTTCGACCGGAGATGGGACGGCGATGGTCTCGCGAGCGGGGCTTCCCTTGCAAGATTTGGAGTTCGTCCAGTTTCATCCCACAGGTAAATGTTGACAAATTCGGTATTTTTTGCAATTTTTTGTGAAAAAGGCATCTACGGTGTCGGGGTACTTGTGACTGAGGGAGCAAGAGGAGAAGGCGGATACATAACCAATAGTCAAGGAGAACGTTTCATGGAGCGATACGCCCCTCATGCTAAAGACTTAGCATCCCGAGACGTAGTCTCCAGAAGTTGCGCTATGGAGATCCTTGAAGGCCGAGGAGTAGGTCCCGAAAAGGACCACGTCCATTTAGAACTAATGCACTTGCCGAAAGAACTCATTAGAAAACAATTACCGGGAATTACGAACTTAGTAGCCGGTTTTGTAGGCCGCGATGTAACAAAAGAACCTATTCCTATTGTACCTACAGTCCACTATAACATGGGTGGAATCCCTACGAATTATAAGGGACAAGTTATCACCCAATCGGTATTTACTCAATTTCTAATCAAATCGATTCAATTTTATTAATTTATAGCCGGAAAAATGCGAACAATTCGTCACGGGACTTTACGCTTGTGGCGAATGTGCTTGCGTTTCAGTCCATGGAGCAAACAGACTTGGCGCTAATTCTTTACTTGAAACTGTTATTTTTGGTCGTGCTGTTGCTCATGCCATTGGCGAGTGTAACAAACCGGGCGATGACATTCCACAAGCTGAAGATGTACGATTTTATTTAAAACTGTTCGCGAATTTATAACTTTTTATAGTGGATGGGTGCAAGCGCTATTGATAATTTAGAAAAACTGAAACGGCAAAATGGCAATCGGACAGTCGGAGATTTGCGTTTGGAATTACAAAAAACGATGCAAAAATTCGCTGGAGTGTTTCGCAATCAAAAATTACTGGAGGAAGGTTGTTTGCAAGTCGCAGAGTTGTATAAGGAAATAGATAACATTAAAGTTAACGACGATTCAATGATATGGAATTCTGATCTTCTCGAAGCTTTAGAATTACAAAATTTGTTTATTAATGCCATTCAAACGATACGTGCAATGGAAATGAGAAAAGAATCACGAGGAGCCCACGCAAGAGACGATTATAAGGTATGCAACCAGATATAAACACGCATTGTTAAAATTGTTCTTTAGATAAGAATAGACGAGTATGATTATGCAAAACCGGTCGAAGGGCAGACAAAAAAATCATTTGAAGAACATTGGCGGAAACATACGTTAAGTTGGTTGGAAGTTGAAACCGGAAAAGTATGTGTTCAATTTTCGTTTAAACTTCTAACATTTTACTTTAGGTTTGTTTCACGTTCCGTCCCGTAAACGACGAGACTTTAGACGAGGACGAGTGCCCCCACGTTCCTCCAATAATCAGGGCCTACTGAATAAGTATCAATAATTATGAAAAAAATATTTATATAAATTATACAATTTTCCTGTACAACAGAAAAACAAATCTGTACAGAACCATTTGAATCTTAAACAATTCAAATTTGTTGTTACTTGAATAAAGGAATTAATAGTGAAAAGTACTCCTTCATTGAAGCAATAAATATAACAAATACATCAACAATAAAATTTATACCAACTGTTCATTGCTACTTGCTGATAAGTCAAGTAATCGCCACGCCGCTCTAGGGTCGGGTTCTGAGATATCGCGACATAACACCCAAACATAAGCAACACGCATTACTTTTTCTGGATCCCCTTCAACAACATTTCCATTGGGGTCTTTAACACACATCATTTGTTGGGAAGTAAATGAGATTATCAACACAGGGCCTTGTTCCATCACCTTTCCCATGACTAAATCAACATTATCAATGTCTAGGACTTTTGACTCGATTCTATAGCCTTTTTTGTACGCTTCTTTAATTGGAATAGCAAATAAATTAAAAGGGCCTTCATGGCACCAGTCTTTCAAGATTTCTAAATCTCCCCTAGTCATAGCTTCTAGTATATTTGGAATAATGTCAGTTTCACACTGCTTTAAAAATTTCTTTGTATCAAAAGATGGATCAATTTTACAAATTTCTGTGAGCGTTTCAGATAATTCCGTTTTCTGGAAAAGGCCCCCCATTATGTCTGACACTTTATCAGTTAAAAGCCTAGAAGCCCTGATTACAGGATTATCACTTTCGTCATATTTTAATTTCCAGTCCATTACTTTGTGGACGTAGGGGTTATTGTCCTTAAAATTCTGCCAAGATTGGTAAAATTTTGAGTCTTTGTGAAGCTCAACTCCTGTTGCTTCCAGGTTCGCTTCATAATATTTTTGGTTTTGTACTGCTGACGTTTCAGTTCTTTTCCTCAATTTTGTGGGACTTACGTAGACCCTCCCTAAACATTAATCAAAAATAAATGTCTCAAAAACGTCCAAAAAATACCTTGAATGCTAGTGGTATCAATTTCTTGCTTCACAGCTTTGGTAGCTTCAGAAATGCTTTGAAAAGCTCCAGTTTTACTTATTTCCTGTGCCTTTTCACTAATCGTGTGGGTAGTTTTGCCCAACTCTTCTGATATTTTCCCGGCTTTCTTAACAAATTCAGTTTTCTGCGCCTCATCTATCACTTCCTGAACTTTATCTTTAATTGTACTAAATTTTTCTTTGAAAACCTCGCTTCCTAAAGTAATCAATTACGACATGCCCTTACATAATCTTTGGATAGTACCTTTACTGGCCTCTTTTTCCACCGATTCAAATTTCTGACGTGCCGCTTTCAATGCTTCACTCTGTTCAAGTTTTTCAGCTTCTTCTCTAAACTTTTTTAATGAGTCTCGCATTTCCTTGTTCTTTGCCATTTCTTCTCGAAAATTATCGTATAAACGAGACAAAAAAGTCTGTCTCTTCGGCTCTCTCGAGTATTGGCGGACCTACGGCGGTTTTTATCAAAGTTCACAATTCACACGTTTGTTACACAATCTTACCACTTGTCCACCATGTCTTAATGTTTTTTGAATAATTAGGTAATTAAAACGGTACATTATTTTATAAAATCAAATGCCAAAAAAGTCTGAAAGAAAAATCAACCAATTGTACAAAATGACATAACCTTACTTTTCTTACGGACAAAAAATGTGTCAATGTTATGTAAATGAGGTTACTAACCAATTTACTTACATCCAAATAAACCGAAAGAAAAAATGTATGTTAAAGATGCTATTATTTAAAGTGATTTTAGCCAAATTTCCAAAATTAAAACAGTTTTTATCAAATACATAAGACTTGACATTAGAGAGAGTAACAGTAACTTTTACAATCATGGTTGCCTAAGCTGCATGACTTGAAATATTATATAAATCACAGTTTTTAGCATATTTCAAGATGTTATGCTTTGAAGACAAAAAAGTAACAAGTCTAATTATCATTTCGATGATCTGAATTATAGAAATCATAATTTATAGACAAAATTTGGGCCTGGTTTCATAATCCTTAGGGGATTATAAATCTACCCAGTTTCTTATTGGTAATAAATAATTTGTCAAAAACACGTGTGGTGAATTTGGGGTTAAATATTTTTTTCTAAATAACAAATTAAAGAATATCATACTTTGGAAAAATGGAAGATAAACGCTTTGCACACATTAAAACCGATCCCAAATTTCGGCGGATTCCCAAAGGAGCCCGAAAAGTTAAAATTGATAAGCGATTCCAGTCTATGTTCAAAGATAAAAAATTCAAAGTAAAATACACAGTGGATAAACGTGGAAGACCTGTAAACCACACATCAACTGAAGATCTAAAGCGTTATTATGAATTGAGTTCAAGTGAGAGTTCTTCAGAAGAGGAATCAGAAGAGCCTGGCAAGTACGTCAAAGCTCCCCAAAATGACCTAAGTGTGAAACATGTGGGCGATAAAGAGCTTCCCAATGATGTTAAGAAGAAATTGCGTGATTTAAATGTTGATTATGCCAGAGGAGAGGGAAATTTACTCAGTGAGAGTTCTTCAGATGATGAAACAGATGAAGAAGTTTCTGAAGGGGAACAGATTGAACACAACTGGGGAGAGTTGGATAACGACGCAGATAGAACAGATGAAGCTACATACAGATTAGCTGCTTGTAATCTGGATTGGGATAGGATAAGAGCGCTAGATTTGATGGTTCTCTTCAATTCATTTTTACCCCCAGGAGGAGCTGTTAAGTCAGTGGTGATTTATCCATCAGAATTTGGAAAAGAACGTATGAAGGAAGAGGAAGTGAAAGGGCCAATTGAATTAGTGGAACACAAGGAAATAGAAGAAGAGGAGACTGAAGAAGGGTCAAAATATCACATGGAAAAATTGAGGCAATACCAACTAAACAGACTAAAATACTATTATGCTGTTGTTACTTTTGACAGTGCAAATACTGCAAATAAAGTATATACAGAATGTGATGGGATGGAGTATGAATCAAGCGCGACGAAGCTTGATTTGAGATTTGTCCCAGATGATATGACTTTTGATGATGAACCTAAAGAACAATGTGACAAATTACCCGAACTTAATAAATACCAACCTAGATTCTTCACAACTACAGCCTTACAACAAGCCAAAGTTGATTTAACTTGGGATGAAACCGACCCGGACAGAATTGAAATGACTCAAAAACTCAACACTGGCAAAATTGAAGAAGTATCAGAAAATGACCTTCAGAATTTCGTTGCAGTAAGCGAAGATGAGGAAAGTGAAGATGATGAGAAAAACGTCACGTCAGACGAAGACGAAAGCAAGAATAATCCAATTGATAAATATAAACAACTTCTGCAAGAAATCGAAGAAAAAGAACAAGAGAAGAAAAGCAGAGAAATTGAAATGGAAGTAAGCTGGGGCATCGACTTGAAAGACAAAACTGAGAAACTTGTAAAGAAGAAAATTGAAAATGAAGAAGAAAAGACACCGTTCCAGAAATATCTGGATAAGCGCAAAGAGAAACGTAAGGAGAAGAAAAAGAAGAAGCAAGAAACTGAAGATTCGGATGATATACCGTCTGATATCGACATGAATGATCCATATTTTGCGGAGGAATTTAACAATCCTGAGTTCAAGAAAAAGAAATCCAAGGAGAAGAAAATTTCTCAATTAGAAGAAAATAATCCTGAATTAGAATTACTTTTGGCTAATGAAGATAACGATAATAAGAAGCATTTTAGTTTGAAGAAAATACAGAAGCAAGAAGAAGCGACTAAGAAAAAACGGAAACATAAAGAAACAGAAGAGAAGATTGACGATTTTCAAATTGATGTTAACGACGAACGATTCTCGGCCCTCTTTACGAGTCATTTGTACAATATTGACCCAACAGACCCTCATTACAAGAAGACAAAAAGTATTGAAACACTAATAAATGAAAAAATTAAAAGGCGGAAAAATGGTAGCGAGAATGAAGAGAAAGAAAAGTCGATAAAAAAAGATGCAGAATTGAGTGTTTTGGTAAAGTCTGTGAAAAGGAAAACTGAAGCGTTGAGTAAAAAGAAAAAATGATTTTTTGTACGTGCATCATTTGTATGTAAATAAACGATCCTTATAAATTTTGGTATATTATTCAATCATTACAACACATTTTTAATGTTTTTATGATACAGTAAAATTATATACAGTTTTTTACAATTACTGACAAAAAATGTTCTACATATTGAAAAGAAACATTCATGTAAGCACACATCAGTAATTCTAGTTTATAAATGTTTTCTTCAGCTTATTTCAGTATGAAATTGTTACAAAAGCTCAGATATTTCGACACCCTGATTAAATGAACATCCAAAGTTATACATTCATTTATCTACATGAAATTATACAAAAATAACGTTTAAAAACTGACGGAGGTGGTGATGCATAAAATTAGTGATAACCGCAATCTTTCCAATAAAAAAAAAATCGAAAGAAACTATTTTTATTATTTTCGGACTACATCTTTGGAAGACAAACAAACTTTAGTCCAGAGGTCTGAATCGAACGAATTTGGCGTTTATGAGAGAAAAACTAATACAACAAACAAACAACAAGAATAAAATTCTGAATATTTAACTAATTTTAACAAACTCACACCATACCCTGAGCATATGGCAACAAATACAACCATTTGACCGAATTAAGATTCTCATCTTAGCCACAGTTTCAATCTCAGAGCATCTACGCCATTTAAATAATACCTAAACAAACGTTTATCCCGAACAAAACCCAGAGCTTCATATAACTGCAAAGCCGGTTTATTGGTCACTTCTGTCTCAAGCACTACTTCGTCAGCATCGCCGACTATCATTTCTTGAATTGCTCTGCGCACCAAAGTTGACCCAATCCCCAACTTTCTGTAGTTCTGGTCCACGGCCAACATCGCAATGTAGCCTCGTTTTAGCACTTTACGATGAGCGTCTAGTTTGCAGACAATTGCACCCACACAATTATCCTTGCACATAGCCTGAAAGAAACAAGAAAAAAAATGTAATACAATTAAGTGAAAACTTACCAAAAAGCACAATTTCGGCCAGTTGTGTATAAAATAACGGTAGGTGTAGATGGAATAGGGTTCAGACAGGTCTTTTTGAATAATTTTCATAATCATTGGCATTTGCAATTCTGATTCGTACTGAACATATTCAATTGGTGGTAGCTCCTGCTTAGGCGCTAACTCGGCACTCTTCAGATCTTCCACTATCTCTGATATTTTTTCGTCACTAGAACTAGTTGCTTTATTACTACAAGACGCTATCGAGTCCTCGTTCGTAATTGTACTATTATTGCTTAAATTAAGTGATACGTCTGATTCCTGACTGGGTTCTAGCATTTTTTCATGATTCGAAATATTTTCATTTGAATCTAATTTGGTAAGTTTCGACTTTAAGTCTTTGTTAATGCCCTCGTCTTCACTTGCTTTGTCTCTTGAGGTTTCTTTCTGTGGTTTAGGTTTCTTACTTTTATGTGAATTTTCATTGTTACTAGGTATTATGTGCTCCTCGATAGAGTTTTTATCGTTTTTTTCGTTACCTTTGGTTGAATCTTGTGCATTATTCACTAGTCCGTTTACTAATCCGTTGATATTACCCTTTTTCGAATGTTTCTTTTTCAAATTCGTATCTTTCGCCTTTCCATTTAGATCATTTTTCGGTTCACAATTCGTTGAAGTGCACTTTTTTGATTTATTTATTTTATTACTGTTCTGGTTCATTTTCCCATTTATTTTTTGTTTTGCAAATAAATAATCTAAATGAGAGCATAATACAAATTATTTTTTATTTTTGCTCTAAAATAAACTCGCCAAAGCAGACATATTGACAGAAATCAACAGGGATTTTTAGGTTATTTCGAGTCTTGCTGCTGTCAATTTTTTTCTTTCCTAGAAGAAGAAAAGGGGCCCCATAAATTGACTTTGCTGCACTAATTAATCAGGTAACTAGTTTACCACTACCCTACCCACGATAAAAGTTACACTACTCACCTGGCTCAAATTTATTTAATTCTATTCAAACTTGGCCTAAACATAACCTAAGTAAATTGATTGACCAATTTCTGGTTACATAAAATCCCGTCCCATTGGTACGCATGACTAAGGCGCTACATTTGAAAAACCTCCCAGCATAATTTATTACCTCATAACTCAACCACATCACGACACTTATTTATACTTTTCGCACGTGGGTCCTTCTGAACTTGCGTAAAGTCCCAATTTATTATCACCATTTTGCATATGACTGTCAACAAGATGTATTTTTAGAGAAGGAAATATAAAATATTTGGACGTTATTTTTAAACAGGATATATCTTATTTGATTCACTTAAACTCTCAATATTTTGCCAAAAATTTTCTATTAATTTATTTTATTCAGTCATGTCTTTCCCGACGAAGGAAGATCGCAACTTGTGTTGGAGTGCTCGGGATCGGTATTGGGAATGTTTAAATAAAAACGGAATAATAGATAGTAAAGATGACAGAGGACCGTGTCTCGAATTCAGAAAACTGTACGAAAAGTCGTGCTCAGCTCAGTGGGTTAAGCATTTTGATAGAAGACGGAATTATCTGCAGTTCAAGGAAAAAATAGAAAAACATGGGTACGAACCGCTTGATGAAAGAAGCCAAGAACATTAGCTTATTTTGTTTATTAATATTAGTATAAATTGCTTTGTAAATAGTGTGGTTAACTTTAAATAAAACTAATCAGACTGTAACACTTTTTTTTACTTCAGAATTCCAAACAAATCCACAGATGATGTTAAAATATTCGAGAAAAGAAGAGTTTATCACGATATTGCTTGTTTATAGTGAAAAAAATACCTAATATGAAACCTGTCCACTATTTTTGCTAATATTTTATTTATCCACTTGCACATAATGCATATTTTGTATTACATAATAAATAAAGCACTGTAAAAATACTATTTTACGTGACTTCCTCTGGATTAATGTCTTTAGTTAAAAGCGTACTTAATTCGCCGGTATTTTGCTGATTTTGATTAATTGAGACAGTCTGTATATGTTTTCCTGGTACCATTACTAAACCCAGCATCCTTGGTTCCTCAATTGTACTATCACTATTATTCTCAGCTGGTAAATATTCGGTACATGAACCCAAAATTACATTGGCGTCTCTGTCAGTGCATAAAAAGACACCAACTAAAACTCGGCCATCAAACATCTGGATTCTGAGTGATTTGTTGAGCCAACTACGCAATTTCACAGCACCTGGAGACATCTAATACAATCAAATTAGATGAGTAGTAGAAAATTGTCATATTATTACGTTTAAAGGTTTCTGGGGCTTGTCTTCGAGGAGCGCTTGTTCCGGTAGTTCTCCTGATTCATTTTCAACTAGTGCACTTGCTGTGTCACTCATTTTTTATTCTATTAACGTAAATAAAAAAAATTAATCAAGAATATTTTTTAAACCAGCTGAAAATTGGGATAACCTCGAATTGTGGCAGGTGTCATCTGTCACAAAATTTTAACCTCACTTTTGCGGGTGTTTTTCATTGATTATAAATTAATTTCTCGTTTTTTTAATTAAAATAGGTACGTAGAGTGTAATTGGTTATTAGCCTTGCCAACTAATAGGCGGAAATTTTTAAAACATTGACTTTTTTGCATTTTATTTCATAGTACCTAATGTCTCGTTCTGGCGATATTTTGGGAATAATTCGCGGTTTACAGCTCGTGGTTGAGGCCGCCGCAAAATTACACTCTTCCGAACTCAAACACATCTGGACAAATTCGAATTATCGCGTCTTAATTCAAGACTGCATCAACCAAAGTCGAACCAACTCAAATAATGTCACTAACATCGTTTCCGAGACTGCAGACCGCGTTACCACAGTCTGCCATGGCCTTAAAGAGTACGCCTCTAATGCATCTCCTAAAGGTGAGTTGGAGTAATGACTAATATTTTTCTACCAAACCATATAAGGTCAGTGAAGGTGTGAAACCAGCATCTGGTTACAAAAACAATTCATTTCACAGATGGTTATTATCAAAATTTAAACGATGCCAGTAAGGAATTGAAACAGGCACAAAGGGCGGAAAGTGACAGGGCGCAATTTCAAATTAAATTAACCAAAAGTGATCAAGAATTGTTGAAGAAGCTAGATTTGGAACATCAGGAGAAATTGAGAAAATTAGAAATGGAACAGAGGGAAAAATCGGAACAAGAGAAGGTGAAAAAGCAAGATGAAGAGAAGCAAAAGGTGGAGAGCAAGAGCCAAATGACAACAAGTCCTAACCCAAAGTCAAAATTGAAGGTATTTAAGTGTCAGATTGTTAAAGAAAAGACTAACAATTTTTTTATAGTTGAGTGAACACTCGAAACAACGGAAAGTACCGTCGTCAAGAATAGGCCGAATGCTGTCTTTTGGAGGTCTCGCGGCCGGGCTAGGGTTTGGGACAGCAACAGAATACGCAAAAAGAACTTTTGGTTTCGGCCAATCAGCAGACCCTTCAACTCTTTTCCTCAACCCAAACAACTTAGATCGAATTGTTGATACGTTATGTAAAGTCAGAGGTATTTAATAATGCTTGTATTAAAAGTGTGTAATATGTTTTTGAAGGAGCGGCTTTAAAGCTCGGTCAATTGCTAAGCATCCAAGACGACACTGTAATCAATCCCGAATTGGCTAAAGCCTTAGAACGGGTCCGAAAATCGGCCGATTTCATGCCAAACTGGCAAGTGGAACAAGTCATGAGTGTCGAATTGGGTCCAAATTGGCGTTCTCAGTTTTCGGAATTTGATGAAAAACCTTTCGCTGCTGCGTCAATCGGTCAAGTCCATTGGGGGCGAATTAGAGACGGACGCGAAGTCGCTATCAAAATACAATATCCGGGAGTTGCGAAAGGCATTGAGAGTGATATTGATAATCTTGGCGGGATTATGAAATTTTGGGATGTTTTTCCCAAAGGAATGTTCTTGGAGAATTTAATGCGAGTGGCGAAGAGAGAGTTAGCTTGGGAGGTTGATTACAGGAGAGAAGCCGAGTGCACGAGAACTTTCCGACGATTATTAGCCCCTTACAGTGATTACTATGTACCTGAAGTTATAGGTGCGTTTCTCATTTTTTTATTTCAATAATAATTATTTTGTCTCAGATGAATTATCGACAAATCAAGTGTTTACAACTGAACTCCTAGACGGGGTTCCAGTCGACCAATTTGACATGCCGCCCGAAGACCGGCGATTCATCGCCGAAAAAATCATAGAACTGTGTTTACTAGAGTTGCTCGAGTTCAGATACATGCAAACTGATCCAAACTGGGCCAATTTCTTATACAACCCTAGAAAAAAACAAATAATGTTGCTCGATTTTGGCGCCAGTCGTGAATATTCAAAACCTTTTATGGATCAGTACGTTAAAATTCTCAAAGCGTCGTGTGACGCCGATCGTGAAACGGTTTTGCAAGTCTCGAGAGAATTGGGATTTTTGACGGGTTATGAGAGCAAGGCATGTTTTAAATAGGAATGCCTGGACAGAGATTAAATCGTGATTAATTACAGGTGATGGAAGATGCGCACGTAGACGCCGTGATGATATTAGGCGAAGTGTTCCGATGTGCCGACGCTTATGATTTCGCAGCTCAAGATATGACGGCTAGAATACAAAACTTGGTTCCTACAATGGTCACACATCGGCTGTGTCCACCTCCAGAAGAAGTGTATTCTTTACATAGGAAGTTATCAGGAGTATTCCTTTTGTGTTCAAAACTAAAAACCTCAGTTTCTTGCAGGGATAAATTCCTAAGTTTGTATAGCAAATATACTAAATCAATGTAGTTTTGTAGAGTTGGAATCTAACACGTTTTGTAACAAATTTTAAATAAAGGTTAATCAAACTGTTTGTTTGGGTTTTAATTGCGATTTTAGTGAACTGACCAATTTAATTAAAACAAAATCAGGCAAAATTATTTTGTACTGGTAATAAAACTAAAATTATATTTTAAAAACAACCAAATTAAACATTCGAATTTTGCCTACAATTATTTTCGATGTTATAACTGAAGTTATCTTCAATCTGAAGAAGAGTCACATATTTTTAATTTTTTTTATTTTGCAAATTGTAAATTAAATAAAGTCGGCTGTAGAAAGAATAGATCATTGTAACTCATTTTATCTAAGACAAGCAAGTGACTGATAACAAAAAACTGTTCAATTTTGATTGAAAAAGTATTGTAACGTTTTTAAAAATAATGAAATTATGGCTCGGGGCGTTTTTTATAATCCATCCTGTACGTAAAATGTTCCGAGAAATCGATTGGCGTCAAGAAAACTGTCAAATTCTTGATCGTTTACTTGCGATTTTCTTCAAAAATTGTTCGTCGTAGAACAATAAGCTTTTTTTGTACTAAAAAATACTAAACACAAAAAAGTTATCAACTGATAACTGTTATAAGCTACTGGTATCGAAAATCAAGCAAAATATTTACAATTAAAAATTTTAAACTTTAAATTTGAACCAAATGCCTCCTAGAGGATGATTAATATGCCCAAATACAATTTCAGAATAATAAAAAAGGTACAGTTATCGATTTTTGAATGGGAATAAGGTACAAATCACTTGGGTAATTCAAAAATGCAATAAAAACATAATTTTCTATTTAAAATAACAAAGTTGAAAGTTGCACTTTCGAAAGTGCAGTACCTAACTCATTATAGATACAAACAAAATTTTAGGTAAATATCATTGTTTGAACTTCCAACACTTTTAATGTGGAGTTTAGCCAGAACAGCCTGTATAAAATAATAATTTTTTGGTATACGATTCCGAAAATAGCTGTTTTAGAGACCCAATTGAATCAGTAAATAATAATAATAAAATGAGTTTTTTTCGTACTTAATACTTAATTCGTACAAAATAGTTATTTAAGTACTCAGTACTCAAAACACAGTTTTTCCGGATCAAAAAATCAATTTAGTTATTATGGTGGCGAAATTTTTTTAATAAATAAAATATGAAAATTCTTTTTTTGGGAAAAAGTTGTTTGTAACACGTACCTTTTTACGTTTTTGCGGACTCATCTTCTATTTTCGACGCGGCTTCGCCTCGTCCGGAAACAGCAATTCGTCCGCAAAAACTATATTTTAAGTACTTGTAACAAAAATAACTATTTTTTAATAAAAATTAATTTTGACATAAATTTTTTGTCATTTGACCCTTTTCGCTCTTCTTTTGATTCTTTTTTTCGTCCGGAACGAAAATGACGCCAAAAGTGTTTGTATTCCCTGATATCCATTTTAATTTGTTCTACTGCATAATGTATTTTTTATTTCATGAATAAATTAATGAGTTTAAAAGCTTGATTTTTTATCTCTTAAAAGTTTTTAGTCCTGGTCCCTCAAGATTAATAAAGCTCCATAAAAATAATAAACAAAATAAAGCGCCAAGAAATGAAAGAGGTTTAGGCCACAAAGAAACATTAAAGCCTCTCTCCCTTGAAGATTAACGTCCGACGTAGAACTTTAAATCCTAATTAAGCATTAAAAGTCAGACACTTTGTTTTTGCAGCACTTGCCTGGGGAGTTGACAAAAGCATTTTGGTTATAAAACGTAGCAGTTGGGCCTCTTGTGTATTGTCGGCCGTCTTTCACGGTTTCCATCAGTATAATGTCACGGAACTTTATTACCGACCCTTCTTGGCCTGGCCATTAAGCCATGACATAGATACCCTAAAATCTGCCAGCCTCACAAGTTTTTCGTCGCGCTTGGGATAAAACAGCACTTGAAATTTTATTGCCGATTATCGAACCCTTGCATAATAAAACAAGTGTTGATAAATGTACGCAATCACGTGAAATCCGAGTTATGGAAAACTCAAGTTTCATTCAACTGTTTGACTCAGCGGATGGTGAAAAATAATAACGTTCTGCATTGTGCGCTTTCGTAATTACATATTTTATGAAACGAAGTAGGAATTATTTATTCTACACAAACAAGTACACCATTGTGAAGAAAGTGCGGTTTGTTACAATTATTTCAGCTTATTTTAGGCGTCGAAAATGGAATGATGAATGACCTCTCTTAATTAAAAAAACTCACTTAGGAAACTTTTTATATCTTGTTGATTTCTCTATCCCAATTTACGTGACTCCAGCAATATAAGGTCAACTAACACTGCCTCATATTTTCTATAATAATTCTTAGTTTCTACACAATTTAATTACTTCTAGTTGTGGGTCAGAATTATTAAATCTGCTAAAAAGTAGTAAAAAAAAACCCAGCACCTATACCTTTCCAGTAATATATTTTTATCTCAGCTAATTCAAATGGAAATGAGAGAAAAATGCTCCAAAATATTATTACCTAGAGAGTTTTTGCAAACCGTAAAAATGTTTAACGTATTACGACAAATGGCCGTTGCTAAGAATTAAAAAAATAAGACGTTTACCTAAACGTTATGTTTGTTATGTTATGTTGATGTCCAATTGTCCAACCACCTAATAATAATTTAAAATTCAGACTTTTAAGGAAATTTTGCTGTCTTTGTTTCATGGAAAAACAATTATTAATGTTTTCGTTGTCATTTTCGGTTAAACATTGAAATAGGTATTAATACAAGGTGTTAAAAGAAGATTGTAAAATATTTAAGGAGATAATAGTATGGACCAAAATAAACAAAAAATTCTTAATAAACGTGGGTCCGCAAAGTAACGGTTTCGGAGATATCGAATGTGGAAATTTTTAGAATTTTTAAGCTTCTCTTTTTTGTTTGAACAGATTCAAATAAATGTTACAAAATTTTCGATATCTCCGAAACCTTTACATTGCGGACCCATATTTATTAAGACTTTTTTGTTTGTTTTGGTCTCTATTATTACCTCCTGAAATATTTTACAATTTTTTTAACACTTTGTATACTCTGTAATACAGTATGTCCAGAAAGTCGTGCACCTCCTTGAAAGAGAGTAATTGGGTAGTCCCCCAGAGCACTAAAAAAATGTTTGAAAAATTTTATCTGTCAAAAAATTTTAACATTTGACATTTTTTTATGTCTATTTAATGCTACTGATGATCTTGTAAATGTTTTATCATAATTATTTAGTAAAGGTACAAAAACTTTGCCAATAAAAGCCACAAATAACACCAAACAGAATTACAATTTAGAATACAGCTTCTTTGTTTCCTTTTCTAATAGCCTGTAGCAAAAAAACTTGGAAAATTATTTTCCCAGCAGAAATAAAATAGAGTCAAAGAGCAAAATTTAAACTCTCATAACTTCGAAATTTTTATAGATAGATTTTTTTAAATATTTTTCTTGTTGTTTAGGGCACCGCCCGATGATACAGTGTTACGGAGGTGCGCGACTTTCCGGACATGCTGTATGTATTATGGATGTAAGGCATGTCATAATAGCCGCAGATGAAAGATGGAATTGTGAAGAGAGAATTTTATGAGATTATTACATCAGCGGTTTATGTCGATTAAATTGATGACGTTTGCATAATAAGTTTAGGTGTCATAGTTAAACTTAAAAATATTAAAAGAAGTTGTAAAATTGATATATCAATACTTGAAATTAACAGATTAGTATCATAAAATTTTATAGCAAGCAGTTAGTTAATAGTTACCTAACTATTTTTCTGTGTGTAACATAACATACAGAAACTAATAAAGTATCTAACCTTGAATGTTTTTTTTTTTGTTTAAATTTATTTCAAAATGTGTCAATATTCATCATTACAGTTTCAAAGTTAGAAGTAAGGACACGACTTCAATTGATGTTTTTGAGGTTTTTATGTATTAAAAATTAAACCTTTCATTAAAACATTTTTTTACACTAAATTAAACTGGAAATAAAAAAAAACGAAAACTCTAGACGAAGTGCATCGGAAGTCAGTGCCAATGCTGTCGCAACAACCTCTATTTTCAGCCGCTGCAGTCGTAGATGTTTGTTGTTTTAATAATTAAAGACACATTTTACTGAGAGCAAATATTATAACCCGTTATAACCTACATATATTTAACATCGTTGTTTTGTAACAAGATTTTTTTTAGTTTTTTTATTATTTAATTAAGATAAAAACATCAATAGGTTTTTTGCAGAGCTCCATCTTCGAGCAATGAGATGAAGTTTCGATCGATAATGAGCTAATAAGTAATAACCAATAACCTGCAAATGCGAGACGAGTATCTAATTTTGATAATTTGTAATTCTTGTAAATTGCAGTTCCATATTGCTGCAAACCAATTAATTCTTCTTTATGCTTAATTCCTCACTCTATAAAGATTCCGCAGCCTATTGTGGCAACTGGACCAGGCGAGCTCTGCAGTAAATTCCCTGAAAGTTTGGCCAAAGGACTGCAGACACACTTATTCCTGCCGGTCCTCATCGATTAAGGTTGAAGTGGGCCCATTCAAGACTTCCTCGATTTTTTTTTCTGCTCTTTTATTTCCTCTCTGAATTGCCTCGAAACAACTTATATTCAGTAAAAATCATTTTAAATTTTCATGAAGATTAATCATGACAAATACTCTAATTGATTGAGTCTTCAGTTGATAACCCTCGTTCTTTCTATCCGTCGATAAAGTCAGGTCGAATCCTCCAAGCAGTGACAAAAATAGACATAGACATCGCAACTGAAGCGCATTAATGTCACGAAATATATTAAAGTCAAGATTCACAATACGGATGCCTTAAATTGACATTTGCGAAGACGTGAGTAAATCTGCAGGAGCAAAGTTTCCCCAAATGTCACAAAACTAGCATCTCATCTCAAGTTTGGCCCAAAGTGCCACTTCGGGACTCTATTCAATCTGTGACAGCTATTTAAACTTTTTTTTTCACGAGGTCTTGCAAGTTTTAATCAGATCCAGCAGGACTTGTCTAAAATCAATTTTGACGCTTTTTCCCAAAAAATCAACTATTTGTTCAAAAAATAGAGGTTTGCGACCTTTGCGGCCAGGAAGTTTTGATGGTTTTCCTCCGGGACTTGATCCACTCATCTAGATCAAGTTTATCAGAAGTTACTTCTGCTTGTTTAAAGCGTTATAGGTCGATATATGAAGATAGAGACTGCGCGGCTGCGAGTTTCGCGTGCTATTGGTCAAGTTAACATTCACACACCGACCATCTGCTTGTTGGGGGTTCACAAGAGATCAGTTGTATCGAGAATCTTGTGACGACGACATGCACATTTGCTACACAACCCTCTACTAACAACAACAACAACGATTTTATGTAAGTACCACATGAAATGCGAATGCTTTTCCGAGATAAGAAAGACGTCAATGCCCTATTTTTATGAGCCATGTCGTAAATACACTGATTTCAATATTTTTTTCGGAAAAATTATAAATAAATAATGTTGATTGTTTTGAACAGTAGCACAGCCATGCGATTTTTTATTTATGGTGCATTTGAACGAAAAGCACCTCCAAGCACGGGTTGTAAATATTTTAAAACACGAATCACGTCCCCTGTTGTCTTTCGTAAATTTGTGCATGAGCTTTGTAATCCTAAATAATACACGAAATAAATTTACAGAATTTAATGAAATAAAATGAGCAGTTATAATTAAATATAAAAATTTCATAATAAATGGTTATTTTGGATGAATTTTTTTCTAGCACACTTACATACATATCCTGTTTGAACTTATAACTTATTAATTAACTGAATTACTCAAATTTATCCGGAGTTTCATCCGTTATATAGCCTAATGACAATAGTCAACGTTTTAATTGTTGTGTCATAAAATTTACCCTGTAACTGTCTATATAACTATACGATTGGTACTAAAGGGAATTATTTTGTAATTAAATTGGTGATAGAATTTATAGAAATGTTCTGTTTAAATTATTCGTAATAAGCCTTTCCAAGTGTATTTTATGTCATTGTTGGGAAATATTTAATTTCCGTCTTTAGAAATTGAGTTATCGTTTATTCAGTTGTATGTTATCAATATTTTATCTCCAAAATGTGTGGCAAAATTCATTTGTGGTTTTCATATAGTAGGTGTAATTTGTTTACTTTGTTTGAGCTTCCGGATATTTAAAAAGCAAATGTTGTTACAAAATTGGGGACGTGAAGAATGAAGTCATTTATCAATGTTCTTTTAGTGTAGTGTTTTATGTTATAAAAAAACAGATTTCGAATTTATAGGATGATTTAACTGAGAGTGTTGAAACTATAAGTTGCTGTTTGGTCATCTCTCGTAAGTCATACGCAAAATATAACTTTAACTCATCGATTGCCTGCATAATTGTCATATCATACCATAAAATGTTCTATATTTACAATATTGAACATTTGTTCTGTTAACTATTCATAGTTTTCGAGTTTTACACACATTTGAAAATTTTTAAAAAGTTCTAAATTTATTAGTTACTGTTTTTGTTATTAATAAACAAAAAACAATAATTTCCAAGCATCTGGTATAACATTTTTTTATCTCCAAAACAAATATTTAAGTTTACAAGCAATATAGAAAATATTTAAATATTCTCTGAGCCACTTTTATGGTATTAAATTTTTATCTCCATTGCAAGCATAAACGTCACGGAACTTTATGTGCATACTGTTCAAGAGTGTAAAATATCGATGCCTTAGATAATGTTCATACAAAAATAGCTTATGTAGTCGTAAAATCCATTTTCACTTTATCCTTTATAAAAGTTTTAATTTTGAGCTTCATATTTTTGAAGTAATTAATTAATAATTCAACTGTATTGTCGGTTAGGCCTGTTTCATTTAATTCATTTAAAACGAGAAGTTTTTGCAATTGTTGTAAAACTTTGCCGTTGACCTCATAAATTTTCAATTAATATTTTACCCTTTCATTTCATGAAAATTGATGAAACTTTCCAAACTAATTTTCTAAGAATTAGGTTCCGTAATGGGTATATTAAGTTTAATTTTCTTGTTTGACGATTCCACAAACGGAAATTTAATACTACTGAAATAATTGAAACACCATTTATAAAGACGATTCCATTTCATTTCATGATCAAACATAAATTGATTAAACGATAAAAGTGTGCAAATGGCTCAACCAGTTATTTAACCGCTGAAAACATGAAGTAATGCTTTTACTTCCGTCATTTTTATTACGTTAATGCAAGACTTCAACAGTCGATTCTCTGTAGATAATTCCTTTTATTAGCCCGATAACGAAACAATATTACAACGACTTCATCACATTCTCTCTAACTGTATCCAGAGACGGTGCAATTTTTTCTACAACTACATTTAATTTTAGTGAAATATGGGGAGGCTTTTATTGACAGCATGGCTCGCTATGAGCTATTGTCTCCCGGGATTAACCACTGCATCGCATCCTCGGGAAAACGAATTGGACAGCCACGAGACCCACCCCATCAACCCGAAATCACCGGCGAGCGTTTTACACGGTATGAAATCAAATTTACACTGTTTAAATTCAATCTTCACTTTTGGGCCATGCTATCTCCCATTCAAACACTTATTACGTGAAAGATAAATATTTAATATCTAATATTTTATATCAAAACGTATTTCTTAAAACGACATTAACATTTTGTTTGTCGGTGTAATAATAGTATTTTATTAGGCTTCGTCTCGGCTTTCGCCTTGGTAATAAATTAGAGAGACTTACGACTCTCGCGCATTTTTATTTGGGAGCCAGCTTTGCCTTTTTATCGAAATTGGTAGCAGTGTTTCGAAAGTAGCTTAGTTTTAAATTTGAGATTGTGAGATTTCCTGCATCTTGTATATCCTTTCAGATGAAGTGGATATCCTTAAACTGATGAATGTATCGGCTAAAGATCAGGGTGTGTCTTTAGTCGAAGGCCCGATAACCAATTTCCCTGCTTACAAATTCCGCCTTCCTTACGGAAACGTACCCTTACCCAATTCAACAGTTGTTACAACTGCTATGAATAGTCCCGAAGGATTCACCGTCGTCTTTCTCTATCGGCAACAGAAAAACAACTTGGGTACGCTCATTTCGGTTAACTCGCCAGGAAGACTCACGCCTTGGTTTCAGTTAAATTCCAATTCGAAAATGGCTCTACTCATGCTGAAATATAGAATTGAAGGATCGCCGAAACTGAGACAAATGGATTGGGAATTGCCGAAACACCATCGCAAATCACCTTTAGCCGGTAAGTCTTTTGTTAATGCAGTAGCTGTGTGGGGAGTAGAGGTCGAGGATGCTCCGATAAATCTCTTAGCCGACGCAGGGAAGGAATTTAATGTAGTGTGGTTTAGTGTTTGGATAGGGCGTGCTATTAGCGTAAAAGCATCTTAAAAGCTTCGCGTATTTATGCAAATATGGACAAGGCGATGAAAAGATCGGCTCTTTCCCTCGACGAAATCTGAATATTTTTGCTATTTGTTGCCTCTGATCCTACCCACCCCAGCGCGTAAATAGAAACGATGAATACAGAAACCTTCATTAACAGACAATGATCTAAGCGGATTTACATGCGAGAGGGTCAAAAATTCTCTATTTTCTGGTGAAAACAATAGAGCCTTTCATATCAGCCATAAACAATTTTCTAATTTCCTCTTGTGTGTTTCCCAACATTCACCATTTATTATTTATCACATTCCTTTTTCGATCGGCAATAAAACCAAAGGAAAAAATATAGGCACATAAAAGACATTCGGAAATTTCGCAACCATAAATTCTTGTATATAGAAAATTCACATCAAGACTATTGATTCATACAAATATAGTTAATAACTGTGCCATTAGGGGAAACCATAAATTCTTATTCTACGGAAATGGGATTTATTTTGCTCAGAAAAAGAATAGAAATTTTATAATATTTTATGTCAACTGTTTCTGGCTTTTGGCGAAAGATAGTCAAAAAAATGGCATTGGTTTGAAGGTTGCTTATGAAACAACTTGTGGTTACAAATACAAATAATTAGTTTTCCACACTCATGTCATGAGATATGTTTAAATATTCGTCTTTATTAATAGAAATCTAATAATTTTGTTTTTTTAATCACTTTACGTGTACTTTCTGCACCCGTTCTCAGTTTTTTCAATCACCTTCATTTTAATTAAACGTTCTTTTATTCATAAACGTTTATTCAGAATTTTTTATGAAATTGTTTTTCTCGTCGTTTATCCACAACCTTTACGCTTTTGTGTCGCTTTCGAAACCTTCGACCGTAACCAGAAGCAGAATTAAATGAGATGGAATCAAAAGCAGATTAGGAAAAATACGTTGATTGATGCCGAGATTTGTCAGAAGTTTTTCCATTTCTGAGATCGCATCAAGTTTACCTAAATGTAAAGTAGATCGATTATTCCCAAATGTTTATTGCAGTTTGCTTCAATGTAATATTCGTTCAAGAACCAAATATTGGTTTGTGCTGAGTGCGTTCACATTTGCATTTTTATTGTAATCCTTGTACATACATTCAGTCAATAAATTGGACGGGGATTAGGGAAACCTGGAAAAAATTTTGAAAGCGTGTATTGTTATTTAATTTTGTTTTTTCGTGGTTTTGTGGGTTTTAAATGGTTTAATGCAAACACAAGAGAATGCATAATTCATATAAAAGACCATGGATCCGCGTAAAATTAAAACTGATACAGAGGCCAGGAAATTGAATCACTCTTTCCAAATGGAGGAAATTGCAAATATAAAATGTCTATAGAGAGGTTTTTTCTTTGTTACAAGACAGATAAACTGATTAAACGTAAATAAACACAAATAACATCAGTTTTGCAAATTTAAGTTTTGTCAAGCTTTCACAAGAGATAATACAGTTAATTAAAAGTTGAATCCGACAAATTGTCATTAATGGTAGAACTTGAAAGCTTCTAAGTTTCCTTGAATTTATTATAATACAATTAAAAGTTTTCCTGGCGAAATTTGTCGCTATTATTTGGTGGAAATTGGTAGATAATTAAAACAATAATATGGTGCAGGCGAGGATGCAGGTGTTCCCCTAAAGTAAATAAAATTTTATACCCGGGAAAGCATAAACCGATCGAAGGGGTTGAAAACGGTTCAAGTTTCCCTCTGTGAAAGTTATTTCGGTCCATTGTTTATTTTTCGTGTTTGATCAAAGTTAGTTTGTTAACTATACGTGCGCTTAGTCTTTTTCCTTTATTTACCCTCCCGTTTTCGTTGATTGCAGCTTGGACGTGGCTCTCAGTCAGTGTGGATTTTACCACTGGCATCGTCCGGCTGGATCTTGATTGTCAGCCTAGTCGATTCGAATCTCTCACTCCCGGAAATGACCAGAGTCATATCAGCATCCCACAGGACGCTCTTGTTTATTTCAGACAAGAGCCAGGCAGAAAGAAGAAGTTTCTGGTGGGTTTATCGATAAGTTACGACATGGCGGGGTTTAATGCGCCGTACTTTGTTACAGGGATCTATGCAAGTCGCTAAAGTTCTTCCTTATGTTCAGCAACAACGGCTATGGACTTGTGTCGAAATCTCCTCAAATCTCGCTCCAGAATTACGTAAACCTCTTTTGTAAATTCAAGACTATTGTTGCACAAAATTGTGATATTAAAACCTCAACGCCAACGAAACTGGCAACTTATTTTAAAATGGAGACATAGTGTTACTGTTTATTATTTATTATGGAATGATAATAACTATTGTAACGAATAAAATTAATCCAAAATTCACATGAGTTTTTTTGCTCACCCTTTTCCCGAAATTGAAATTTCACAAAAAAGAAAAAACAATGATAAAATAAAGTATAATAAACTATAGCAAAAAGTGAGTGAGAAATTTGTTCGTACATCAATTACGACTCTGGAGAAAAAAAAATCGAATATTTTACGAAACTTTCATCCTTAGGGTGTTATAAAATCTTCGGCGATGTCAGACAGTTTTTTGAAGCTCTTATTTTAGATATTTTAAATCTTATTGAATAAGAAAAACGATTATTTTTTAAGTAAAAAGAGTAAAATTATTGTATTATTGGTTGCATCGCAAGCAAGGTAAATGCTAATAAATATTTACGTCTTCCATATTTTCATTGTTTACTTCAATCTATTCTATACTTCTCACAAAGATGCGATATTTTTAAAATTCTTTAGCGATTTTTGGATAGTACCAGTAGACATATTTAGTTTTTTATTACAAAAATCAATGTGGTTTTAATAAATATTAATTAAAAAGTGCAAGTTCTTTTGGAATTTGTAACATTTTCTACAAAAACAAATAACGGAATCAGGCAAAGCCACTGGCTATATAAAAAACTAATCAGAAACGTCACAAAAGTAACCCTTTTATGACTAAATGTCACAAGTAAAATTTTACCTTTTAAACAAGGAGTAAAACTTTTGTGTTTTCGCTTAAGTGTTTTTACTTTTACCATGACATTTACCAATGTTGTCTGTTTCTCTCTTTTTCGCTGCTTCAGCAATTTTCAAAGAGGCACATGGTAGATCATTAGCATGCGACATTTACACTATTAACTGCACTAGTTAAATCAATAAACACTTTTGAAAGGCTCAACAGAAATTTCAATATTGACGCGTGACGTTTGTTATGCAAAGCACCCTGATTATTTTGTTCATTTACTTGCTATAATCTTTTTACTTTCTTTCTGAGTACGTTTGCGCATAAAATAGTATATGTTATTTAGAGCAAAGTTATGTTTATGTGGCTTAGCTGAATTATTTGCCTCACTACGTTCAGCAAAATAAACGTTCAGCTTTGCCACATAAACAATCACTTTTACACATAATAACGTAATATACTATTTTTTGCTCACATAATAACATACAATTAACTGGATTTAAGTGTTTTATTAAGAATAAAAATTGTTAAAAAAACAATTTAGGTACTCTGGTTAAATTTTGTTTTGATGGTTCTAATTATTTCTACGTTTATAAATAGACACGTTTTTTTTCAATGTTTTAATAATATGGGAGTAGTATATTCAATAATTAAATGCAAGTTTTTGTAAAATTATTATTTTCATTGAAAGGTCTTCTAGCCGAAAACGATATAGTTGGAAAGTATCTCAAAATAAATCATAATTTCATAATATTATTAAAAAATGTTTCAAATGTGGTTTTATTCTTTTTGGCCTTTAGGAAACGTTTGTCTATAATCCTTTAGTAAGTATCATTTAATTTTTTTTTAGAAAGTAAAACAGCGTTTGAAAGCGCTAAATTTTCCTCTGGCATGCTAAAAGTACTAACATTTTATTACTTTTGTGTATTTATTTAACAATTTAAATTTTGGAACCACCAACTTGCAGGAGAATAAAAATTGTTTTTCAATATCTTATACTTTATTCAAAAATATAAATAAAAATATAATACATTATTATAAATTAAAACCTCTTACAAAAACGTAAAAATACTCAAGGCTATTATAATTGTACTCATACAAACGTTGGAAGTCCTGCACTTTTACTTACATTTAACTTGCACTTAAATTACGGTTTATTGCACTGTTTTTGTGGTCATGTAGTTTATATTCCAACTTTCACGACAGTTTCTTCTTCACTTCCACTCTGTCCTTTTCAGCGACTGTAGCTTGTGTCACAACATTCACGACAGTTACCACCTATAAAAAGGTCACAATTAGAGCAACAAATCTTGATAATTACACAAAAATAGGTCATGATATCTTAATTGCAACTTTACAAAATCTACGTGAGAAAATTTTAATTTCAAGAGAAAACAATTAACGTAACTAATCTCACAAAATCGCATTTATGAAAATGATATGTCACAATAACGTACTCTCGAATGTCCTGAAATTGTCTGTACTGTTGAATTGGGAGGCGGCGTGTATGCAGAAAGATCCATCAAACCAAGCAATGGATGTTTAGATGTTGGCGGCTTGAGCGTTGTAGTCGTTTGCAAATTATTAACTGCAAACAAAATTCAAGGTACTTAAAATCGTATTAGAAACTAGCAAGGATAGTGAAGAAAGTTTTGTCAAAAGTGAAAATTTGAGAAAAGTTATGTAACTATACTCACTCAAATGCGGCCATTCGCTGAAAACAACAGTCAAAGGGCCGGTATTTTGGTTCAGTCTTTCTCTACTTTTCTTATCTTCTGGATCAACTCGAACCATGAATTTTGGGGTTGGAACAACTGTTTTGTTCAAATTTTGTACTCTCGGGGGGTGACTCCATGCTGTAATGGGGGTCGTAGCGCGAGAATCGTAAGGTTGGGGTGTCACTATGTAAACTTTTTCTTTCGTAATGGGTGATACTGTAACACTTACAGTATCCCAAGACGGTTTTTGGGTCGTCGTAGGAGTTTCAGTTGTTGTTTCTTTGTAAATCAAATTGGTTTCAATATCATCTTCTAATTTAGTCTCTTTTTTATTTGAACCGGCTTGTTCGTGATCAAAAGCAATGGTAGTAGTTTCACTATAAGCTTGAGTTGTGAAATACTCATCTGGAATTTTTTTCGACGGCACAAATTTTGCACTTGTACTACTTTTCTGGTCTTGTTGAATCGTCTTTGAGTAGGCTTGTTGAGTCCAGTCGTCGATATTATTTTGCAGCGAAATCACATCAAATGGTAGATTTTCGGAAGGGTAGAACTGTTTTGTATCTCTTAGTAAATCCCTAATATTGTAAACTTGAGTAGTCGGGGGGGTGAAAGCCGTAGCAGTCACTTTTTTTGACTCCGCTAGGTTGAAATCTCCAATGAATTTTGACCAAACTTCTTCAGTTGTTGAAGGTGGTGAATAAACCGGGAGAAGGGTAGTATAAGGTCTCGATGGTACCATTCTTCCCACATTCTTATCAAACGGAACCGGTTTTTTTTGACTAACATAAGGAACAATAATCTGTATTTGCTTCGGCCTTTTCGTTGTTGAAGATACGGGTTGTAGCCATGTCGTAGGTCCTATTGCAGGGGGTACCATTGAATTAGGCCATCTTGGTTGCCAGTTACTATAATCCATGGTTGGAGGAGGTGTAAAAGTATTATTAGAACTTGTAGCCTCTTGAGTGAACAAGAGTTGTTTAATAATATCAGCATTTAGAATAGTTTGGCTTTCAGACCTAAACTGTGATTGTCTATTTTCGTCCGGAAGATGATTTGTTTGGAACGTCACATTGACAGCACTTGCAGCAGTATGCGTGTCTTCTACTACAATGGGATTTTCACTTAATTTCCCCGAATTGTCACTATAAAATCCTCCAGGTCGAACATCACTATTTTCTTTAGGAGCTACATTTTTCGCTAAATTTTCATGATTTTCTTCAACAAAATCTTCAGTATTTTTCACTGAAACTTCAACCAAAGGTGACTGAACAACATTAATTGGATGTTCAATTGATGCTAAAAAGTCCGCAACTTTAACACTTGGTAACACTTGAACATTGTCATGTGCTTTCACTTCATAATTTTCTCCTTGTTGGGGAATACTATCGTGGAAATTTTGAGCATTATGGATGGGTAAAACAGGTCCAGGACTTAAATTAGGTAAAGGCAAAGGAACGTTCGAAGACAATGGCAACTGTTCAACTGGGGGTAAATATTCTTCTCTGATGGGGTAATCAGCGTTGGGTCCTGATACAGGAGCTCCGTAACTATCAGAAGGTGGAGGTGGTGGGGGTGGCAAGTCATAACCTTGACTTGATACTGTTGGTAACGAATGGTAACTTCCCCTCAAGGGAGGTGGTAGCATTCCTATTGGAGCGTAATTGTTGAAAACAGGTTTCAAATGAGTGATTGGAGGCGGTCTCAAATGCTGCATGGAAAGTCCAAAATTGTCAGTACTAGGTTTAGGTCTGAAAATTGGGGCTCCATATTGGGATGGTAAAGGTTTGACATGCGACGAAGGGGGAGGACCATACTGAGATGAAGGAGGTGAAATTTGGGTTAATTTAATGGGGGAAGGTGGCCCATATTGGGGTGGAGGTGGAGGTCCGTATTGCGACTGTAATTTAATTGGAGGTCCATATTGTGGAGAAGGAGGAGGTCCATGTGATTGAGAGAAAGGAGGAGGGCCGTACTGTGATAAGGGAGGTCCATATTGGGCAGAAGGAGGAGGGCCATATTGGGGGGAAGGGGGTCCATAGTGGGTCGGTGGCGGCCTTAAATCTTCCAGATGACTAGAAGGCGGTACAAAATTAATTAAAGTGTTGTGCCCTACACTGGACGCAATTGGGATCCAGGGGGCTTTGTTACAGGGGTTGCAACCAGTTTGGCTTTGGTATGGCTGGGGAGGTAAGTATTGAGGACCACTGTGATGGCCTTCTGCAGGTACTGAATCTTTTGAAGGGAAGAACCAATTGCTTAATTTCGAAAAAAAGGAAGGTTCTTCTTTTTTGTAAGGAGAGGATTTTTGGAGTAGAAGCTTGTCGGGAGGTTTGAGAGAAATTGTTCGATCCTCAGCTTCTTCGGCTGACACACAAACGTTGTATGTGAGGAGTAGCAAATAAATTATCTGGAAAAAAATAACAATACAGGTGTTGATTGAAAATTAATTAAGATTTAATTAAGAAAAAAATAGAAGTGTTGAAGTGTAATAACTCGTGTAGGCTATTTTAATGGTGAAAGCCCAAGTAAAGAATCGAGGTTGACGTTAACTTTTATCATATAATTGTACACAATGATGTCACAATGAGTTACAGTTCGTAGGGTTATTGGTACTTCAAAATTAATGCCATTGTTACGAATATAACCATCAATAGTTTATCGACGGCTTATTTGTTTTCAAAACAAAAAAGTTCTCATCGTTATTCGTTACTCAGTGGAAGTGAAAAGTCTCTTAATCGAATTAAGTCTAATGGCAGTTGTTATTTTTTTATAAGCCAAGTCATCCTCATGTCATTTCTATTATAGTAACACGGAAAACTAATTCTAGGATTCGATGTTAAAGGCCTTTTAACAGTTTCACTTTCAAGAGCACAACCGATAGAACAATTTGCGTGACTTTATTCGGTTAGCTGGAGAATTCCCACGTAAACTTTCTGTGTGCACGAACCAAAAAAAGCGAATAGTCGGATGGGACACGTATTTTAGCATACACATAACACAGTTATGATGCGATTTCCTTTCTCATTCAAGAGCTTCTCAGTTAAAAACTTTCTTCGGTTGGCTGTGAGGATAACCCTGAACCACACAATGAAGAACTACTTCGCACATGCAAGTGGGTCAACTTATTAACGCCACCATCTGTTATGCCGTAATTTATTATGTCGTTTAAGTGTAATATTTACAAGTGTAAGAGGAGGAAGGCAAAATTAGCTGATTGGTGACAATTAACGAGCAATTTGTTCGAAACCACATTTTTGAGAACAGTCTCTTGTCAATTAATGCAAAGTCACATCCTTTATGTTAATTAGTGTGCATTCGCCGGTAAAATAAAAAGCGAGAACGTTCCCACATGTATTTACCACTACTAGAGGATCGTAAGTCACAAGACGTTCTCCATTACGACGCTCCTTTTACTTCCTAAATGTAAATTAATTACATTTCGATGCGTTTAAATCGCATCATTTTCTGAAATCGCGTGTTCGCATTTCTAGCCAATTTTCAAGTAATGTGTTTTATGAAAAAAACGTGACTTTCACTTTACATAACTGGGAATCTTCAGCAAAGGTCCCTCATCGATTACCCCAATTTATCCGAAATACCAGTAAATTACAAATTCGCTGATAGGTAATTAGTTGTTACCTTCGCGGTCCGCCGCACAATTACCATGAGCACTCACTGAAAAATTGCTCCTAATAAAATTCGACACGGTATAACTTTTATGAAAATCTACAACACTAGCTGGAATGCGGAAAATCTATAAAAACGAGTTTTCACTCTTTATCGAACTGGTTTGACCTATTAAGGACATATTTACTATTTTCCTTGACAATCAAGTGAAAACGATAAACGACTTCCTGCGAATTTGGCGACACTTTTATATGTAAATTCGGTTTAGCAAATGAACCGCAATTTTTTATTTACTCGCAATATTCAGATTTCTCTGACCTTATTTGTGAAGCGTGCCTATCGCATTATTTATAGCCAAATGAAAAATGCAATTTAAATTTTTGACTCGAGTAGAAACATCGAACTTGTTTTGAAAGAAGAATCTCGCATTTATTTCGATAATAAAACTATGACTTTTATTCATACTTTTATTCCAAAACAACAAAATGTTTTTCGCATAAAGTTTTATTACTTGTATTTATAACCTCGATTGGATCTTATCGACAAGCAGTTAAAGAAATAGAAAGTCGGTTAAGAGGAGACTTTTTGGATTTTTATCTACGATAATCTTCAAAATTATGTCGTTATTAATTTTTACATAAACGTTTTAAATATGAAAGCTCATGCATGGCACAAAGACATAAACTTTTACACTGCTTTGTTATTAGAGTTCCACTGATCTATTTCATAAAAGTTATGGCCATAACTCTAAAAATATTTTCATAAAGCGTCACTTTTATGTTTGTTCTAGAATCCGAACAATTCAAACTTGACTAAAGACGATCACGAATTGTGTATAAATTTGCAAATATTTCGCTTATTTACATAAATAAATGAGAGAAAATTCTGTTATTTGTAAAACAGGACTCGTTACTTTGCAGTGTTATTACACTTTGCTCAAAGTTTACAAAGGACTTTAACATTTTTTAAATAAACACGTGAGCCACTTCAGTAAAAGTGTTACACAAACTTCACAAATAAACTCTTTGCAAACAGTAGCAAATCCACGAAACGTCAACTCAGCTTGATTGGTTGCAATTACATACATAGGAAGCTTCATGTTCAATGTAATCTACTTATTGCAAACCCTTGTCAACGTCACAGATAGAACATACCTGTCAGATGTCGGCCTTGATTTATCGATATTTTTGACACACAACATGAAACACTTTCGTTTGATTTAAAAACAATGATAAATTCACTGCGGTTTTATTTCGACAGTGACATCAATTTTCCATTTTATTTTGTGTAAATATTTTCCCATTTTATTATTCGCTGTAGCAATATCTGATATGACGAAAAATACAATACTTGAAAGCCACAAACAGACAAATGTATTAAAAAGCGACAAGATAGTAACAATTTCTATTATCAAAATGAACTCATAAGAAAATTATCATACATAACATAATGTGAGGATGAAATGGAGTTTAAGTGATTAGAACGATTAGCTGATAAATTTTAATTGTAATTTATCTAGCTTCCACATATCTGTCTTTAATAGATTAGACTGCGTTTGGGATGTAAATTTGGTGAATTAATATTCTCTGGTGATAATTAGTTTAACCACACTGTTATTAGATATACTTTTTATATATCTTGGCAACCGCAAAATTTCCTCAAACTAGTGATAGTTAAACTGTGTTTATCATAATATTTTCTTAAAGTTAACCTGCATATGCTTGAACTAGAATAGAACACAAAAAGAAAATAACCGACGGAGAAAGTACTAAAAATAAACCGCTGTGAAGACAAAAAAATCAGTCTGAAAAGAGGATGAAATAGAAATTAGCTAATTAATTAACGAAAACAAAAACAAGAATATAGTGGAGAAAACCTTTCGTTAGTCGGATTTTAATGAAGAAGAATAAAAAGTAATTAAGAATTTTCAATAATCAGCGTCAAAATTGTGTTTGTTTAACAAATCATTCGTGACCGAAGCAACATTGACCGACTACCGTTTTGGACTTGACATTAATCTTCAGCTATTCGATTCTGATGCTATAAATCAAGCGACAAATTGAATTATGAAAACGCGTCAGAACGTTGTTGATATTTACCTTGAAAGAGATAATTGTCATGTGTCAATAGAAAAAATGCATTTACAGTGGGTGTGAACCCCAGTGAAACGTGCTACAAAAAAGTGGATCATCCATTGTTTCAAAATTTACTCAAACAAACAATACAAAATAAAATATATTCATTCTCTATATGAAGACGATCCTAACCACAACCTGACATAGAATTGAAAATAATTCATTCACTCACCTTGTATCTAGCCATATTAAAATCGATCAATTCCGGGTATGGCACATGTTCCGGTGACCCGATGAGGGTTCTTTACTCAAAGACTTCCGGTGGGTCTGCAAAAATCACCAATTAAGCAGCCACCAATTAGCGCCGGAATTTTTCTAGAGCATGAAAATTGCTTATTAATACTGACCGCAGCTGCGATAATCCGGAGGAAACATTAGAACACTATCACACAGAGACACTAATCAGACACCGAGTCTTCAGCGAGCACGCCGACGATGGGAGAAAGCATGCGGATGATTGCCGGAAGAACAAATGAAATGGGAGTTTGGGTGACCGTGTTATACCGGCTCTCTCAACGGCCAAATAACCATGATGAAGATGGTCGAGGATATTTTATACCAGTGACCCATATCAGCCCACTCTTACCTGGGTGGTGGCGCGACAGGGGATGGCCAAATTCACTCTCGACTGGTATTTTACCTATTCGAAAACTGACCATTGGGGCGAAGGAATGCATGGAAAAGTGTTTTATTGCGTGGCTGGTATGTCGAGATTGTTTCCAACATTTATCTTCTGGGAACGACAGCTTCGATTGGGACGTTACGCATTGTTCTGGCATGTTCAATTTACTGAATGTTTACCAGAGAATAGGGCCCAGGATTTATTTTGTTAATCTAATTTTACAGCCGACAACTTACAGACGAATAGTTCAACATTGTTCTCAACTCTGACCAATTAAAGAAAATTCAATTAGCGACGCATTTTTTAAATAGCTTACAAACTTCTACATCGAATAAACTTTAGCAATCAGAGCTCCCCCTACCCCAAATATAGAAACATTTTTTAATTTTTTTCTATTATTTAGAAATTTCAACAATATAGCAAATTTTAAACACAAAATTAAATAACAAACTGAGCAATTTCTACATGAGTTTTTTGAAGTTATAACAAAAATAGAGTTAAAAAAATCGCAATTTTATATGTAGAACTGTTTACTTATTTCAAAGATTTGAATGAAAAAAAGAACAATAAATAAATTATCGTTGTATACGAAAGACTTATGTAAGGGTTACAGCAAACCGACTGATTTAAATTCACTCATTTCTCTGACTGAATTCCTCATGACGCCCATGAGACTAATCAAAACATTTGGAAAATTAGCATTTATTGGGATTCGAAAGAGGATTATTATAATCTGATCAATGAAAAGTATGCTTTCTAAATCCAAAGCCGTACCCTATTCTGCTTTTCCCCAATTCTGTCACAGATGATAAAGAGTTGTGACGTGACGTCATCAATTATTACTTATCTTGCGAGGGGAAGTTTGAGAAAGATGTAAACTGTCTTCTAAATTATTCAATCCCGATTTTTCATGCTTTGTATCGATTAAAGTTTCGGAATTTAAGATAATTTGTAAACCTTGTCACAAATTTGTTTTTTACGAAATTGTTTTGTTCACTTGTTGAGTGAAATCGAAAATTGTGTAGCTATTGTTGTTTGAAGTAAACTAGCCTCAATAAAAATTTATTCCAGTCGTTAAGTTTAATCAGTTGATGCAACAATGAACGTAATGTTATTCTAATAATAACAATTTTCAGCCGTTCTGAAGATTACTTCATAAACGAAGCACAACCTTATTAATGTTTGATTGGATTGAACTAGCCCAACAATAGATATCTGTAGGTGTTTGGTGAGATCAAGGTCAGGGTTCTACTAAACTATTATTTATACTTTATAAATCTGATTCACACCTGTTACTTGTCCATTGACGCGTTATTACGACTCTTGGATCAGCAAAACAAATCATCTTGGTCCTTGCCCAATATGCACAACCAATAAATTACCCAAAACACAATTAGAAAGTGCTTTTGGTTGAAATACTCATCTTTTATTCACTTAAGTCAATGAAGCAAGCGTCCAAACATTTCGTCCAAATAAGTAAATGACGGGAAGAGTTTGTGTGGAATGGTCAAGCGAGCTTTGAATACAGATTTGGCCAATTAAAAAGTGGGTGAACTAGTGAAAATACCAATAAGGTGTGTTACGTTCGGGTCAATTGTTATGCAGACGGTTTTCGAAAGAACGCACGATGAATAAATTGCTTTGGGGTGGAATTGGATCAGCTCTAAAAATAAGAGTTTTCTGCATTGAGTCACTCTTGAGCAATAATCGCTTATCTAAATTAGCAAACAAATATTCACTGGCAACAGAAATATCGTTTATTCATCATGTGCAAGTGGCTATGGCGACGTTGCTCTGGAAAATCCTCCTACGGGTGAGTGTCAATAATTTCCCAATTTGTTGATTGAGTTTGGGTTTAGGGTGAGATCGAACGAATCCCGCAAATCCAGCGTGGCAGATATTCCCGGGATGGAAGAAGAAGTCAAGGTGGAATCCCCTTCGGAGTCGTACAGAGTGATGAAGGACAACTAAAGACGAAATAATGTTACTGTTACAATGAAAAGTCTTGTCATTGGTGGCGAAATGTAATCACGCTCACGTTATTTGCTTTACATAAAAGAGAAACGACATCAGTTCCCGATTTCCATCGCATGAAATTGTAGTCACATATTCGTAGTTTATACAAAATAAATATGTAAAAGCGCAGTCGTTTTCTAAACTAATAAATCTGTACGGTTAGTTGGTATAAATCGACAGCTGGTTTCTGATGCATTGACGAGCCGCTTTTCTCGTACATTTTCTTTCAGCCGAATCGAAAGCGAATCCTTTTGGACATGTCACTCCTATTGGTTCCGGCTCGTTGTGGAAACAAATGTAAAACTGGCGACAACTGTCTGGATTTGCGAAACTGCCTTCTTGTTGGCAAACGAAGTTTTTAAAATGTTCGGATTCGGTAGTGGTTTCTATTCCGCCTCCTGCGGAACAATGTTCGCAATGTTCGCATCGCTTTCGGAAATTCCTCTCATTACATTTGCAATTGCAGTTGCATTTCGGTTTGTCCACTTTTGCATTCTCGCGAAATTGGCCTTCCATTTTTTCTTCATTCAACTTGCGGATTTTTCGAAGTTTCTGTTCTAGGTTTCTTTTCAGCAATTTAATTAAATAGTCTTTACTTCGGTAGTTTCTCATTTTCTGAACAAAGGGATGAAATAAAGAGTTGTCTGAGCTAAAATCCACAATTCGGAAATGTGACATTTCAGGTGATAAAATTAAAAAAAACAAACTACCGATTAGGAATGTCTGGAATTATTAAACAAACTTAAATACACGTTTACAATTGTTAAGTTGCTCACCTCAAATAACGACATATAATTATGATAACTATCAAATATAACACATTATTGACAGTGACAGCAAATAATTCATTAATTAAAAGTTACAAGAACACTGTTGCAAATGTGACTATGAGGATCAAAATGAGAACCACTAGGACAATAATATTTACTTTGCACAAAACTGTAACTTCTTAATAAATTACACAACTAATAACTACTAGTGGGTACATGAAACATCTAATTTATTTGAAAACCTTCCTTTTGCGCGACAAGTAAAGTCCGTTGTTTCAGCAGGAATACAAGGATCAATTCTGGATGTTGTACTTGCCATTTATTTCAGTTGTTGTTTCTAAACAAGGACATTGATAAAAAACATTGCAAAGACGACTACTAGTAAGGACCACATAATTTTTTAAGAATTTTTACCCTGTTTTTAAAGGTACCCTTTCATAAAAGTCAAATTTTATTGAATCTACCCTGTTTCTCCAAAGCTAGCCTTTAAAAAAAAAGTCAAATTTTATTGAATCTACCCTATTTTTTCAAAGGTGAATACGATTTCGGCGAAGAAAATTCACCTTTTAAAAACACTTAAATTTTAAAGATCTTGTCCTATTTTTAGGCCACTTCAGCACACATGTGAATACGATTTCGCGATTTCGGACAAACAAATTCGGACAAGGTCCTTATGAGCAAAGCAAGTTCACCTTTGAAAATACTTAAAATTCGCTTTTTTGTTGGGCCACGACAAATTCATATTGCACCTGTCCTCACTTTTTTAACCAAGCTAAAATAATGCCATAAATTTATGTTACCACTACTTCGATGCAATTTATCCACATAGAAGTTCGTTATAAGTTATAACCAGCGAGGAGGTAAGGCAAAGTAGCGCCGAAGTAGATCTGTACTAGTAGTCTGGGGTGTAGTTTTTTTTTTAGTTCAGTTCCATTATTATTATTGTTTTATCACATATTACTGTTTAGTAAGGTATATTTCATGATTCTAAATAATTTTTATCCCCATGAATTTATTGTATCTTCAACCGTATAATTATGAAGCAGAAGTATCTAAATTTTGTCAACAATAATTGTGACAGGCGCAGTAGATTTTATTTTATGTGAAATACTTAACCCGACCTTTTCACAATTGTCATTTTTGATAGATATGTCCCTAAAAAACAATTGGATGTTTAAAGTTGGATTTCATACACAACTCCATTTTTACAAATTTACAAAGGAAAGTGGCCACTGTGAATTGACCGCGACTTTATTTACCATTTTATCATGTTGATGGGTAAGTTAAAAAAAAGCTCTTTTTACGATACGATACGATAATCGGATAAAAGGATTTGTACTCCTGTCCCCTCATAAATGAAACTCTATAAACATTTTAATTCATTTTATTAACAGACCAAATTACATTATAAAAAAATCAATTAGCGATTTTTTGCAATAAAGTGTAGGTTTTTCGTGGCGGACTTTCCTCTTCTTCTGAAGACCTAAAATTAAAATTATGTCTTAATTAAAACTACAGTTTAGTTTTTCTTACATATTCAAATCTCCTAGATTTGTGACAAATAAAAGTTGATGTTCTTCACAGTTGAACTCAATTGAAATAAAACATCCAACATCCATCATGACTCGAATTCTTAGAGCATCTATGTGCTCCAAAATTTGTCTTAGAGGTCTAATGCAGGTTTAAAGGTGGTGTGTGGTGTTATCACAGATTAACTGGTTCTACCAGCTAATCTGTGGTATTATGGTTATTTGCCTGAACCAATTTTTCGACACGGCGGCCGTTATTAACAGTAACAAAAGCATTTTCTTGAAAAGGCATAATTTTTCGTTTGGTTTTCAATTGCCTTAACTCGTTAATCAGGAGAGTTTTTACCCCAAACCGTTTTTCCTCCATTTTTTTGCCTGTAAATGATAAAGAAATGCAAAATAATCTAACAAAGACAATCTGCCACCATGATATTGAAAACTTATATGAAAATCTGGTCAGATAAAATTTGGTTAGTTTATCTACATAGTGATATTATTATTATTATTATAGTGTACTTACTGCACTTCCCTATGTAAATTTGTAAAAATTGAGTCGTTTAAATCCGACTTTATACATCCAATTGTTTTTTAGGAACATATCTATCAAAAATGACAATTGTGAAAAAATCGGGTTGGAATACTTCACATATAAAATCTATTGCGCCTGTCACAATTGCTGATACAATTTAATTTATTTCTGCTGTCAACAACATTGACACAACCCACACATAAGACGTGGGGGGCTAGGGATTGCAATAAATTAAATGGCCACTATGAATTGACTGCGACTTTTGGGTAGAGGACAATCCAAATGCGTTGTTTCCGAGGGAATTTCAGTAATGATTTTCAGTAAAGTTGTGACTGTTGCGGTATATCAACTAATTTCAATATCAATATTGCAATACTCTTGTAGATTGTTTAATGAAAACGGAAGCAAGGGGTCCTAGTAAATTCTTGTGGGTGTAAGAAAACATAAATAACAGTGCAATGTGTGTTTTTAGGTTACAATTACACTACCGGATAAAAATACCTTGGTAAATTTACAATTTTGATATTAAAAATAATCCTAAGCTGTTTTGTTTAAGTACAAAATCTTATAAAAAGTACATTTTTCTGTTAGTTTTGCAATAAAGAAACTGACGTACGTTTTTGTTTTTCTGGTTAACCTAACTCCCTTCTTCATTTCATAGAGATAATGCATTAATTTTCGGCTTGTTGTCTGTCATATCGAAGAAAAAGTTAAGTAAGAACAACGCTTCTGAACAAAACATCTAAAAGTATTAGAGAAGTTGTTGGTTCATCGGAATAGAAATCGAATTTTCAGAAATTTTCAACGATTTCGTTTCATTATACTGTACACAGCATCTTCAGCGAGAAAAATATTCGAAAATAGTGTGTTATGTCAACAACATGACAGAAAATTAATAAATGTCAACATTACAGTAATGCAGCTATTTTTTCAAACTTTTAGGCAAATTGGTGTTATTTTTATGACCTAGCAACGAATATAATTTTTCAATCACACCCTGAGTTGGCCTTCTGGGATTGGTGAAATTAAGAATCTCGCAACTTTCTTATACAAGCATAAGTTACTTCTTCAGCTGCACTTCTTGGCGACCTATTGCCGCCGGCATTTGACATTTTTCTCTGGGGCGCGAGTTTTGGCGCACCTGTATATAGCGATGATGTCCATCAAATAACACATTACTGACAGTGACAGCAAATAATTTATTAATTAAAAGTTACAAGGACATTTATATACAGTGTTGCAAATATGAATATGAGGATCAAAATGAGAACCACTAGGACAATAATATTTAGTTTGCACAAAAGTTCCATTTCTTAATAAATTACACAGATAATAACTAGTACATGAAATATCTAGTTTATTTGGAAACCTTCCTTTTGCGCTACAAGTAAAGTCCGTTGTTTCAGGTGGAATACAAGGATCAATTCTAGGTGTTGTACTTGCCATTTCAGTTGTTGTTTCTGAACAAGGACATTGATAAAGAACATTGCAAAGATGTAATTCTGGATCAAAAAATGCACCATCCGGGCATGAATATTTCGTTTGAATAAGTGAACCATTGCGTAGCAACGAACACAAAAAATATGTTGTGCAACTCGGGTCTTTTGGATTTGCAAATCTCCCTTTCTCGGAACATGTAAAATTTTCTTTCTTGTATATGTCAGCTAAACAAACTGCCGATGATGTTGTCGAATTTGAATATTTTGTTGAATCAGTGATTATCGATGAAGTTGTCGATTTTGTCGTAGTAGAAGAAATATGCAAATCACTCGTGGTTGAACAAGGACAATGGTAGAGTTCACTACATAAATGTAGTTCTGGGTCAAAAAACGAACCTTTTGGACAAGGATATTTTGTTTGAATAAAAGAACCATTGCGCAGCAAGGAGCACAAAAAATATGTTGTGCAACTCGGGTCCTTTAGATTTACAAATCTTCCTTTTTCAGAACATGTAAAATTTACCTCCTTGTTTATACCAGTTAGACAAATAGCTGATGATGAAGATGTTGTTGTGAAATTTGAATATTTTGTTGAATCAGTAGTTGTAGTAGAAGAAGTAACTAACTCACTAGTGGTCGAACAAGGACAGTTGTAGAGCTCACTACATAAGTGTAGCTCTGGATCAAAAAATGAACCAATTGGACAAGAATATTTTGTTTGGATAAAAGAACCATTACGCAGCAGTGAACATAAAAAATATGTTGTGCAACTCAGGTCTTTTACATTAAAAAACCTTCCTTTTTCATTGCAAGTGAAATTTTCCGTAATATTTTGATCAGCAAAGCAAATCGTGGATGTTGAAGTTGTTGGAAGTTTAATTGTGGTTGTAGAAAATGTTGGTGATAGTGTTGTAAAACACGGACATTGATATAATAAACTACACAGTTGTAATTCCGGATCAAAAAGTGATCCAACTGGACAAGAATATTTTGTTTGAATAAAAGAACCATTGCGAAGAAGGGAACAAAGAAAATAAGTTGTGCAAGTTGGGTCTCTTGGATTTACAAATCTGCCTTTTTGAAAACATGTAAAATTTTCAGTGTAATTTTTATCAGAAATGCAGAATGTGGAATTTGTTAACACATTTGATAATATCGTGTTATTTAAAGTAGTTGGCATGACAGTAGAAGAACATTTATAAGAAGCACTACATACGCGTAAGTTAGAATCAAATAGTGTTCCCAAAGAACACGAAAATTTTTTTTGTACAAATGATTTGTTCTTAAGTAAACAGAAATAATATGTGGAACACGTTGTGTCTTCAGAGTTGACAACACGACCTTCCTCTGTACAATGTTTCTTTGCTGAGACTGGAGGTTTTAAAGTGATCAAAGAAGAATTGCCGATCTCATATGTTTTGGTTAAATTTAACACCTAAAAGTTTTTTGTTAGTTTCTTTAAAACTTTATAAATGATTAATGTTTTACTTACGAGGTAGAAACAAATTAGATTTTTTACAATGAGCATTATGGCACTGTCGGTGTTACTACTAACTAAATTCTCAAAAGCAAATTATTGCAAAGTAAACTTATTTGCATAATGATATAAAAGTTATTTTATGATCGTTATTAACAATAATTGCTTGTGGTGCTATAATTTTACTTTCGACAAATTATAAGAACTACAAATCCTTTAGACAACAATAATTTAATTAGCAATTGTTGAAAATATTTTTACTGTTTAGGAGAATTTCTCGTATAATTTGTTGAGAACAAATTTTCGTGAAATGTTAAAATGGATCATTTTTATGCAGGTCAGTGTCGACTTTCTTTAGGAAATGTAATTCTCGCTTAATTATTTTGAAAACTCAATTATACACAATTACCGAATTCGTAAATATTAGAAAGATAAATCCATTGCTCGAATTATATGTACATTATCAGAATATTTATGTACAATTCCACCTCGTTAAATTTGATTAAGTGTAGGTTTAACAAAGGCCTAATAAAAATAAAAAATAAAACAATCAAAATAATTTACCGTTATACAAAATATGCGAACAACTTGTCTCAGAAAAGGATCAGCATAACTTACAAATAAAATGAAAAAAATCATTCTCCCGCGACACATTATACAAAAACGAATTTTCTTCTGTTCGTACTGCACGTGACAATAATTTTTATCCTTTTCAAATAAGAATTTGAATCGGACAACCATCAGGATCGAATGGTTCGATATTGCCAGCCAAGGCGAAAGCCATTGTTTAGGTGAATTATTAAAAGACGTGGGACTGAATTTTCAGCACATTTCCAGACACGTCATCATCCATATTGAGTCCTTTTTTGACATTTATCTATTTTATCTGTTCGAGCATAAGGCCCAAATGTTAAATTATCCACAAATTTGTCCGGAAAGAAAACTGTTCGTTTTCCTAATGAACAATGAAACTTACCACATTTTTCATTTTTCATTAGATTCTGTTAATACAGTTGTTTTAATATTGTTTTTGGATAAAGCATTGAGTTAACTTTGAAATTTTAAATGAAATACAAAGCAAAGCGAGGTCGCACTTTTCAGCAAGCGTTCCATCACTAATAAAATATGATAAAACAAGTGTTTAATATGCAATTATATGTTTATTATGTCTTTATGTGTGTATAATTCTTTATAATTCATAACATATCCTTTAGCAGCATCCTGCTGTACACTGTTCGATGACTGGGTACTGATTTGTGATTCCAACACACTGTATATAAGTTTGTCTACATGCTGGATTAAGAGCATTGGGATCCGGTAAAGTAGCCATAGGAAGCTGATTATCGCAATAACTATTAATGCAAATCGATGTTAAATCACACTGTTGAGTAGTGGGATTAAATCTTTGTAAAGTTCCACAAGATCCATTACTTTTGACGTAATACATTCCTAAGACAAGAGTGCACGTATAATATTTTTTACATGTTGGGTCTCTAGGTTCTTTAAAGGTTCCCGGAGCTACGCAATTAAGGCCCCAAGTATGGTGCAATAATGCAAATAACTGAAATGTTTTATTTTAACAGATTTTATTCGATAATTTTTAATTAGCTATACTTACCAAGACTAGATGCACTAAAATATTCATTGTTAAGTGCATTTAATAAAGTCAAAGAATGAGCTTTAATAAAGTGCAACGATAAATATAAAGTTAAAAATATTTTTTTTATTTATTGCATCGAGGAATTAACTTAGATTAGTAATTTATGACTCTGTACAACGTAAAACTTTAAACACACTTGAGTCTATAATTAAATAATCACATTGTTCAAATTTGCATTCAGAGAATTAAAAAAAATAGTAATCTTTACGATGACGTCATAAAATGCGAATGATTTGAATTTTCATGTATCTAACAGGGATGTAAACATTAAGACAATTTAATGATTGACAAAATTTATTTTCAACAATTTGGTATTGAACTACAACTCAGTAAATCCTTATTAAAGTAGCCAATTTCACATGTTTTTACAACAGGATGGCTGTTACTTGTTGACCCAACACATTCAATGTACGTTTTGCAGTCAGTACCATTTGGGTCAGCTACTTTGGTAACTAATGGTGGTAAATTTTGACAAATATCCTCTATGCAGTGTGCTGATGTAGAACAGCGACTGGTAGAAGGATTAAAAATAGTAGATTCGGGACAAACATAATCTCTTGCAATTAAAGAACCGTGAGAGTGAACACATAAGAAATAATTCCTACATGTGGGATCACTGTATCTAAACCTTCCAGTTGTCTTACAGTTGGTACTACCTGAGAGTGTTTCATAGGCAGAAGCCACGACCTAAAACAACAATTCGGAGAAACATATTTAAAGAATCTGTGACTTACAGTCACACAAATGAACAAATGGTGGAGAATCATGCTGTATCCACTGGTGCAGAAAATAATACATTTTAATTAAATATTATCACATATCAAATATTATGTTAACAAATGTAAGGTGCAAATAAACATCGTAATACTCTTAAAACATTTTATTTACTGTAAAGTACAAGGTTATTTTTTATGTACAATTTCCTTGTATCCAGCAATCAGCATTTGGACTATAATCTTGGTCGAAAAGAAGACCACTAGGACAAGTGCCAATCACAGGATATTTATCAATTAGTCCCATACATTGGATGTAAGTGCGACAATCAGGTCCATTGGGATCTGGTAGTTTGGGAAAAAGGGGTATCAGCGGTTGAGTGGAACAAATGTTATCAATACAGACGGCAGTACTGGAACATGTTTGACTTGTTGGATCAAAAACCATGGTACTGGGACAAGTATAGTCGCTTTTAACATATGCCCCATTGTACAAAGCGCATAAATAATAAGAACGACATGTTGAATCCCGGTATCTAAATCTTCCAGCGGTGGTACAGTTATAGTCTTGTGCTATTCCTACACACAAAACCGACTTGAACAATATATTAGTTTTGAAAAAAATTCTTTTATTCTACTTACCATAAATGCGATTAAAATCTTCATTTTGTCTAAAATTTCTTCAATATCGCGCACTTAAATAAAACTGCATGTTTAAACAAATGCATTTTTATTTTAATTGATAAGATAAAAGACTACACATAACTATATCTATTTGTTGGAGTTAATTTATTAAGAACTGTTTTTATATTATTTGTTAATCTTTGAAACAATGAAGGTTGTTTGGGTTGGTAACTGTAAGGTACTACATGGTACACACCGGTTTTGTCCACGTAAAAAGTTTTTATTTGGTTGTAGGGTGATATAGCATAAAAGGGTCTACTAGCATAATTAACGTTCTCTCCATCTGGAACATTTCCCAGACCTAAATGGCTGTTTTGTGGTTCTTCATAATATTGTTGTTGTTGTACCGTATGTGGTAGATTTAAGTCCGTGATTTGCTGCTCTTGATTATCTTGCAAAGTGCGTGGCATTGCTGCAATATCCAATGAAGGATCTTCATTTTCCACACAGTTTGTCATGTACAAATCATTGCCGAAATAATTATGAATCAAATTTTTCAGTTGATAATCAAAATCTTTATTTCTGTCTTCAGTATGATGATTAATATCAAGCTCTATTTCCTTTGCAATGTTTTTGACTTTTGAATTTCCATTCAATATGTCCATGTTTAACTTTACGGTGACTTTTCCGTTTTTGCATCCAAGAAATTGCTTTCCGACATATCCTTGTTCACCAGTTTGTTGTTCGAAACCTAAGCCGTTTTTCAGAAATTTGTTGTATTGTAGCGGGAGTTTTTGTTGGGAGTCGAAACCTTCAAGCATACCTTCCCTCATTGGATCACCGATTTCAAATTCCCTGTAGTTGTTTGGAATCGACATAACGTCTGGAACGTCATTTTCATATGACTCCAAATCAGATGATGATAAAGGCATCATTCTTGCCGACAGTGTTTCGTCAGTTTCAGTTTTTTCACTTAATTTGTCTTTATCAGAATGTTGGGATTTATCGTTTCTTGTCAATTTAAAATTAGCTATCTTGTTTTTAATGCTTTTTATATAATCCAGAAGTGATCTTGGTAAAACAGAATATGCATCAATTTTCTTGTCAGGTGTGTCACTTGTGTTTTCCTCTTCCAGCCTCTTATTCTGTTCAAGCAATTTTGGTGATATTGTCTTCACGGAATTTTCTCCAATGTTTTCTTCTGGAGACGTTGGTGCTTTTGCTGTTAAATGATTTTTCTGGTTAGAAGTTAGCACTAACGATATGTTTGACTTTTCTCGATGCAAATTCTCATTCTCAGTTAAAATTCTAGGAGTTGGAGTAATCATATTTTTTTGAGGAGTTGATTTTTCTTGCTCTAAATTTTCATTTTTAAGTGATGTTTTTGTCTCAGAAACAGATTTTAAATTTGGTAGAGATTTTGCAGTGCTTTCATTTGGTTTGTTTTTATCGGCTTCATTTTTAGACATCATTTTCGATTTAACTCGATCACTATCTCCTTTACTTGTTTTCAGATCGACAATTGATTCTTTAATTGTCAAATTTTGTGTCTGAGGAAGAATTTCCGGTGATGTTGCTGATGGACGATTCAATTCTTTTTGATGAGAAGTTTGTAAATTTTCTAGTTGTAAGTTTCTGGGTTGTGTTTTTATCTCATCGACTTTTGGAATTTTTGTAATGTTTTTTTGTTTTGACTGAAAAGTTGCAGCTACTTTTGAGTCAGATTTTACTTGATCCGCATTTTGATTTTTAGGTAATTCTACAGTATCAGAACTTGGTGTAATTTTTTCAGATTTAAGCTGAGAATTTGGTTGTGGCATACTCTGATTGTTGGATAAAATTCGTGGTAATATTTTCTTCTCAGAACTTGGTAGAGACTCTGTTTTACTTTGAGATTCTAGCTGAAAAGACGACTGTTGTGTTGTCTGATTCGTAGGTAAAATTCTGGATGTTATTTTAATCCCATAATTGGTTAGAGACTCTGTTTTCTCTCCAGGTTTTAGCTGAGATTTTGATTGTTGTCCATTCTGACCCTCTGGTAAAATTTTTGGCAAAATTTTCTTTTTGTCAGAACTTGATGAAGACTTTGCAGTGTTTCCAGGTTCTAGTTGAGAGACTGATTTTTGTAAATTCTGACTCTGAGGTACAATTCTTGGTGAAATGTTTACCTTAGAACTTGGTAAAGATTCTTTGGTCTTTTTAGCAACTGGCTTAGAAATTTTCGCAAATGAAGAATTTAACTCTAAATTTTGCAAAATTTTTGATGGAGCTTCTAAACTTGGTAGAAAGTTTGTAACGTTTCCGTTTGATTTATTATTGTCAGTACCGTTTAAAGGTTTTGAAGCACTTTCTATTTTAACAGTTTGCGATTTATTTTTTGGCGGCAAATCCTGACTTTGAGAGATAATTTTTGAAGATATTAATGCACTTTCTTGTTGAGAATTTGGTGCCCGTAAAGAGTTTGAGTTTTCTAGTTTTTTTATAATTTTACTTAAAGTTTCTTGTTGTAAATTTTCATTGTTAGGTAAAATTCTTGGTGATATTTTCGACACCGAACTCGGTGTAGGTTCAGTACCTTGAATGTTTGAATTTTCTTGCATTATACTCTTATTCGTAAATAACATTCTTGGTAACATTGTTATCTCTAAATCTTGTCCAGATTTCGCAGTAGTTTCATTTGATTTATTTTTATTTGCGTCATTAGTTGACTTCACTCTTGTTCCAACTAAAGCACCGTTCTCCTCAATTGCTTTTAACTGAGAGTTTAAATCTTGCGTATTATTCAGATTCGGAGAGAAAATTCTTGTTGAAAAAGTATGTTCTGTTTGCGAAGTATTTAAATTTTCTTTTTGATATTGAGGAAGTGACCTAGGTCCTGCAGACACGTTTTGTTTTTGTAAGAATGTTGTCTTCTGTGTCAAATTTAAATTTTTTTCACCTCTTCTTTCAACAGTCGATTTTGGTAATATTCTTACTTCAATTGCCTGTTTGCCAGATCTTGAAGTCTCTAAAAAAAATAATACGATTAACATATAAATATGTTGATTTATGAATTAATACCTTTTCTGTTTGTAGTGCCAGCTTGAACGTTTTGAAAAACTGGTTTCAGTTTAATTTCTACACGTTTCCTTTCAGGAAGATCAATGAATGACTTGGACAAAATTTTACCTGATCTACAAATAAAAGTAAGATTTTGTTTAATTGTTTCGATAATGGTTTGTTCCACTGTCACAAAATCTAATTTGCGAGATTCTTTTGTATCATTGTCTGTGATTTCATAAGTTTCTTTATCACGAGCTATAGAGTTAGTTGGAGCTAATTTTGGCGATGCTTCCAAGCTAATAGAGTACTCAATGTAGCCATAATTAGTGCCATTTTCAAAAAAATGCAAAGTTGCTTTCTCATTCCAACAGATGGTGGTATATTTTTTTTCATCAAATTTTTCATAAGATGCTTTAATTAAGGGTTGATCCACTGTGAATTTAGAAAATATTTCTTCCAATTCCTTAGTATTTTTTCCTTCATTTTTGTGTGTAAATAACTTATTAAAAAAATTTGCGGCAAGTATATCTTCGAAACAAAATAGTGTCACAAACAGGAACAGCTGAAAAAAATATGAATTAGTTTCTTGATCAGAAAATATGTATGTACTTGTAGTTTTTTACGCCCTTGCTATTTACAGAAACAGAAAATGTAGGTAGTATTATACTTAAATATAACACTTTCAAGAATCAATTAATATGTTTGATAAACAGTTTTTATTTTTTTTTACTACATAAAAAATACGCCAACTGGATAAGTCTCAAATTCTATAAAACTTTATTGGTTTGGCATAATTCAGAATATATTCAGATTATAAAAGACAGCCGATAAAGTGAACTTTATAAAGCCATAACTAAACTTTTCTTTTTGCTATACAAAATAAAACTTTTTAAATAAAATTTTATTATCTAGATAAATTATGACGTATTTAAAACAAATGTATTGTAAATCTACTATTATTTTGCAGAGTAACCAGTGTTAGTTAGGGTTAATTAGTTTTAGACAATGATATGTAATTTGAAGCTAATTACTTCAGAATATAACAAATGCGTAGGTTGTTAAACAGTAGGTAAAACACAATGTGAGCCTATGTGGGGACATAATTTGATAACATTATCAACTGTCTTCGTCAATGGGAATTAATCAATAAAATTAAAAAAAAATAACAAGTTTTGCGTTCTTTAATTTAAAAACAATTTTTTCCAGTGGTATTTCGAATTAATTTTAATAAATGCATTTACTCCATACTCATTAATCCAAGCAATTCATCACTTATATATTTTTTTAAATCACTGAGATATGCATCATTTATTTTAAATAATAAATCATCGATTACATTTGTACGTTATCAAAACTCAAAAAATATTTCATGAACCGTCTATCAAATAATGACGTAGTCATTAGCCCGTCATCATTAATTAAAAATTAATGAAGTCTGAAGTGTTTGTCAAAAAAAATGAAAATAGAGGAAAAAGATTTTGCTTGCTTAATCAAGGGCTGTTGTGGCGTTTTAATTACATTTGTGCAATAAAAAAAAACGATTTTTATAGCGTGCTAATTCTCAAAATTCTAATTATGTATTGCAGAAAATATATTAAAAACCACTTACCAACATATTTTTTGCAATTAATAGACTCATTTTTACCACAGTTTGTGTACCATCGATTCGATTGCCGTAAATAAACTACTTATCTTCAAACAATACAGTTTTAAATGATTCGAACAGAAAGTGACTCAAATAAAGATAGAATGGTAATAAAAATCTTCCCTCACAAATGTATGACGCAGCAAAATTCATTTTGTGTGCACAGTAGCGACAATAATGCCAATTAAACACATCTTGCTTCTTCACACATTTGCTTTTAATAAATACAATTTTCATTTTTTTTTTAAAACTACATTTTTTATTAAAACAAACAACTTCAAAGTTAATGTAGTTTTTTTATAAGTACAGCTTTTGTAAAATAATAAAGTTAAATTAATTGATTAAGACGAAAAAAAACTTAGGGGGCACCCGGGTTTGAACCGGGGACCTCTCGATCTGCAGTCGAATGCTCTACCACTGAGCTATACCCCCACTTGCGTGTATTTCTACATACCCTGTAATTCCAGATCAGTTTTACAAATCAAGAAATTAATAGTATTACTGCTGTATTGATTAGTTCATAACACCGTAAGTCGATCAAATGTATTTATTATGATTATTAATTTTTCATTTTTCAATTAAATTTATTATAAATAAAACAACAAATCGAAAATAATAATTAGACAAAAAACAGCTTGTGTAGCTGAACTATACCTACTATACAATCCTACTAAAAATACCAACTAATTTCTAATGAAAAGCCAGATATCCTAAACCAATTCATCCAATAGGTATAAAAAGAGATAGACACAATTCATTTCTTACTTTATTATTAGAAAAGTTTATTTGTATGATAAGATAAGAAGTGCTAGTATCTGTTCGTTTGAAATATTCATTCCTTTAGTGAGGAAATCTCGCTTATATTCTTTCCAGTCATGCGAAACTAAATAAAATTTAATATGATGTATGTAAACGAGAAAAAATCGTGACAATGGGCCGACCTACTTCAAGGCTAAGTGACAATTTGAATGAAAATTGGAAAACACCCTATTTAGAAGTAATTTCAGTCGGAGTAGTACAGGTGAGTAAGACAGACGTCTGATAAGATAGAAATTCCCAGAAATATGATTCCTGGTAGCAATTTACATACTTATAATTTCTATACATTTCCAGTTTCTCTTATCGCTACAGATACTTTGTTATGGCGTGTTTATAATGCAATTTATTTCGGAAGACTTATACAATCTAAAAACCGGATTATGGACAGCTATTATTTTCGTCAGTGTTTCAAAGATTACAAGTCAGTTTAAAGTAGATTTTAAACCGTTACTTAAGTAGTTTTCCAGATTCCTGGACAAAATCTTATTGTAAACATTTGGACAATATTAGGCACAAAATACACAAACGTAACATTATTGTTGCAACTTTTTTTTTATTTATTGAACTTGTTACAAGTTCATTTATTAACACGAAAACTGCCCAGATCGTTCTATATGGATTGTGTGGAGGTACACTACAAATTTCATTGACACACCTTAATATATGTTTCCAGGTATACTTTCAAGCATTATTCACGTCCATTGTAAATATGCAACTTCTCAAGCGTTTGAAAATCGACCAAAACTTTTTGACATGACTGATCAATTGGTCAAAGCTTTTAGTTTGATTTTCATGCCCCATTTCGTTCTGTTTTTGTCAAATTTATACAAGACAAAACACTGCCTGTTGATTTTAGGTGCCCTTATGCTTAATATTATCCCAATATGTCTCCTCATTAGAAAAACGCAACACAAAAAATCTCCACTTTGCAAGTTTAAAACTCTCGAAAGGTTAGTTGAAATTGTTGTAAAATTTTAATTAAGTAGTTATAATTTTTCAACTCACAGGTTATCAATTGAAATGGAAGATTTGAACCATAAGCCCCCTATTATCACAGAACCGTCATCATCGTCGTCATCCAGTGATGAAGATGAAGAAAAAGTAGAAGAATATGAGGTTACGATAACTGAACCAACGCCTCCAAATAACATTCAAAAATATTTCCAAAATGTTGGTGTTAAGATTTTGCCAAATATACCAGAAGAAAACGAATTGGAAGAAGAAGAGGACATTAATGAAATCACCAGTAAAAGGTTGAGCAGGATTAGTGCTATTTTACAAGAATTGAACGAAAATAATCGCAAAAGTGTCAACTTGAGTGTGATTAATTTGTATCAACCGGATGAAATTGTTGAAAGTGTTGAGCATGAAGATGAGGAATTAAGTGAACCTCGTCCAAAAAAATCCAGATGTTTTAGTATTACTTCCAGTGTTTTGTTTGAATTAGAGGCAAAGAAAACTAAACTGAAATCATTTTTTTACGAATATTTTATTAAACCTGTGCCCAGGACATTGAGAAGTTTTTATTTTTATCCGGCAGTTTTATCGAATGTTATTACTACGCTACTATCAACAGTTGTTATTGTAACAGCCCCGTATATGATGTGTCTAAAAAACAATCATGGAAACCACACAGAAGCCACATTTATTTTGACAATAATTGGATTTTCGTGGCTTTTTTTTCTAGCCGGACACCCAGTTTTTAGTAAACTTTCACCACTGAAAACCCAAATTTTGTTCCTTATTGGACTTTCAGTCTCAGGATTCAGTTTATGTAAGTGTAAGTAATGCAAGTGATTGTTTTTCACCAGTTTTTTACAGTTATTGTTCATAAATTTAGTTACGATAATTTTACGTTATTTTCTCTGACTTTTGGAATAGGTCATGGAATAATCACTTACACGGAAAACAAAAATTGTGAGAATTTTTTTGGACAAACAAATTGGAAGAAATTGCAAGGGGCGCTCGAAATTTGTACTGGATTTATTGTGATATTAGTTTACGTAATTATTTATTTTTCTAATTTAGAAATTGATGTTTTCTTGTCTTATGCTTATTGGGTTTATGTTTTTAACGTGTCTCTGTGGATTGTGTCGTATATTTTGAAAAAAATTGTGTTTAATATCAAACATGTGCGAAGTTATAACTGCCAACGGTATTCCGATTTTAATTTTTAAATTTCATTGTTGAATAAATATCGTTTTACTCGTTTTCTTCTTTATTGTTTAATTTGCGTGGTAAGAAATAATTTTGTGTTGTAACATCCTCTCCTCAATCAATTATTGCTTAGTTTACGGCCTTGTTATCATTTATTAAGCTGTTATGGCATTATTCATTCAGAATTTGACACACTAAAATTAACCATAACTCTCAGGTGTGATAGATAGAATTTTGAAAATTTAATGGTGCACTTCAACGCCTTAATAAAGGTCTCATTAAATAAGTCATTAAAACTCAGCCTCTGTAAAAAATTGAAAAAAAAAGAAAACATGTAATTGTAGTGAACTTTTGATAATTCTGTTGAAAAATGTGAAAAAATCTAATAAAAATGAATAAAACTTTTTTTAATAATAATAAGGAATAGGTAATGCATTAATTTTTTATAACTTTATCTTTAAGTTCCCACCAACAAATTTTATAAAACTAATCTAATACCTACTATAAGTAATTTAAATATGTACTGGTTGACAAAATAAAAAAAAACAAATAAAATTTATGTTTCAGCTTGTAAAAGCCGTTATGGTTATGCTGTTAGATTCTAGTATAGGTTTACCTAATTTTCTTTTATTTTTACTAAAAATCTACATAAAGAACTTTAAGTATATGTTTCTTAAGACTTTAAAATTCGTTTCAGTACTTTTTCAAAATAAAATACCCGTTTCTTAATTTTTTCTAATAATGAATTCTATCTTGTTAGTATTTTAAAGTGGCAGCAAATATTACAAAAAATAAAAGTTAAAAACTGCAAAATAAATCAATTAGCGGCGAAATTCAAGAAAAAGTTGCAGGAAAATTTTCAGCAGCAGGAATCTTTACGACAACCATCATCCCTTTGTTTTGGTTTTGAGGTTATGTAAAATGTCAAAAGCTGAGCTTTTGCAAGAATACAAAAACGATGTAAATAATTTACGAAAATGTGCCAAAGAATTAAATATTAGTGAGAAGGAGATAACGAAAATATTTAAAGAATGTTTTAAACAATTAGACCAAGAAAATGCAAGCTCAAATGAAAATGAGAGTAACGCTCAAAAGTATTTTTCTACAATCCTCAAAATATTTTTAATATTTACATTGATATCGATTTGTGTTTACGTTTTATTAAATGTACATCAACCAACTTCCAGTATTGTGCTTCGAAATGTTCAGGGGTTGATTTATCCTGGATTAAAAGTGTTGAGGTTTTTATCAGTTCCAGTAATCAAGAGGTTTCCTGCACTCACAGGTATTGTCACTGTTGTTCCAGTATTTGTTAATAAAGTGTGTTTGCAGGATTATACGATGAGAGCTGTTTGGTTGAAAATCCGTATTTTTATGTGTCAGATATGGAGTGTTGGCCATGTGAAAATGTGCACTCAGTTATTGACTTGACTGGATTTGATAATTACAGTTTATACCAGTCTGGGACGCCTTACATAGTCAAAGTAAAATTATAACTAAATTTAAGTATCCTTCCTGTATCCATTGTTATAGACACAACAAAAAGAAGTTTTATTTGAAAAACTAAAGGAGTTGTACATGAGTAATAAAAATGTATTTCATGATGAGGCTGACAAAATTAAGTCAACTAATTCTTCCATCAGTAATATACAGGAATTGTTCAGTATTAGTGTTGAGTCTTCCACTCATATTTCTTGGAGAATTAATAAAATGGCTCCTGGGAGGTTAATAAGAACTTTATTTCCCAGGCCTTACATAATTTCTGAATGGTCAGGGCAAAGTATAGAACGTTATGTCATGATTGATGGACCAAAAGCGGACCCTTATGTATTACCTAATCCTGAATGTAGTTATGTAATTATTACACAAGGGGCAGGTGAACGCACCATCATCCTTAAACCCTCTAGAGAATGTGGAGACGTCTGCAGAACAGTTTCTGTAATACTCAAACCTTCTTATGTTTGTAAGAAATTTGTTGTTTGCTGTTTTAAAAAACTAATTATTTTTTTTCAGTATGGTATAATTGGTGGTACTGGCGCCCCATCAGTCTTCCCACAAGAAAAGATCTATCAGAAGTGTCAGTAAGTTACGTAAGTTCATATTGTTAACCAACAGACTGAATAATAAATAATTTTTAACAAACGGAAATTTTATTTCAAAATAAATAGTTTATGACAACTAATATCCTACTCTGTTTTTACAAAACGGAATGAGCTATTGTGGATTTATTTAACAACCAATTTAAGTAGAAACAAAAAATTAAAATTTTATTCAATTTTCTTTTTCAACCATCCTTTAAAAATAATGGGTAACAACGGGATGATCCCACACACCGCCAATGTAACCAATGAACTAGCACTTATTTTAAAATCATCAGCAGTCATATTTTGCAACGTTTGTCCACCTTGAATGGCAATAAATGAAGGTGGTGCAACTCCAAAAAATGTTCCTAGAGCAAAAGGCACCAACGGGACTCCTATCACAGGTGCAGTTAAATTTATAAACCAGTTGGGTAAAAATGGTGTTATTCTTAAAAATAATACGTAGTTGAACAAATTGTCACGGTGTTTATTCACTTGGTGGCCCCATGCAGCAGCTTTTTCAGGGAAATACTTTAGAACTAGTTTTCGTCCCAACAGTTGGGACAATAGAAAACATAAGGAGGCTCCTACAGCTGAACAAGTGCAAACTAGGGTCAGAGCCACCGTGAAAGGAAAGAGGAATCCTGAAAGGACTGAAAGAAATAGCGAACCCGGAATTGCAAATGTTTGAAGACTGTATTAGGATTAAAGAAAATATTCTACGTTAAAACAGTATTTTGTAACTTAGAACTATAAAAAAGGATACAAAATGTAAGCAGTAAAAACTCCAGTCATTACTTGGAAATAATGGTCGGCTTTATATCTGTTTAAAACAATTCCTAATTGTTTAGCGTCTTCTATGTTCCATGGCAATTTGATGTGTTGCCGTTCTTCCCTAAAAACAGGTAACATCAGTCTAATTCTTGGAATAGGATTTGGAAAAACTTACTCAGTGACTTGAGGAAAAGTTTTATACACTAAAAACAACGCAAAGAGTGAACTTAAAAAAATTATAAAAACTGAAACTAATGCCGTCCTTGTAGATATAGAATTATCTAAAAAAAGAAAACACTGTTAATTTTTAAGCAAAAATATAATTTTGAGGTTATGTTAACCTACTTGGATCATGAATGGATTGTCGGTTCGGGATCATAACTGGGGAATGATTAGTAAAATTAATAGATCTGCGGTATGTAGGTCTACCCCTGATTTGGTAGTTTGATAGGAAAGGGCGATTATAAATGTCTGAGGTGGATGATATTTGAAAACATTGAATTTGATTGTCACCTTGGATGTTTTGTTGTGTCGTCATTTTTTCAGTCGGAATTGCTTGAAATTTATTTAAAATGGAATTCGATATGGTTTTTTGTGATTTACTGCTTCATATTTACGTTATTTATTTTTCTAATTAATGGAAATTTAAACTAACGTGACAGATGACAGCACTGACGTGAAGGTGATCAGCTGACATGGTGTGGCATGACGTGATAGGCTGAAAGCCAATCGCCACTTTTGACAGGGCCTGATTGGTGTTAATTGGGCCCGAAAAACGTATTTATGCAAATTTTATGTAAAAATTACAAAATATGCGCATAACTGATGACAAGTTTCGAAAGGTGATAAAAAACAGTCAACTAATCGTAAAAATGAATGCAGATTTTTTTTCAAACTTTGGTTTTGGAGAAATAACAGAACTGTCAATTTTCGTATTATCACGTACAGTTGCGGAATGGACCCATTGCATCAAAGAAAAATCGAGGGTACCGCATGAGCGGCGAGAGAAATAACTCCACCCATTCTCATCGTGACTGACATTTGACAAATAAATCTCTTTTTTCTTGTTAAAATTGTTAGTTAATTAAACAATTTGTCTGTTTTAGGAAATTTATTCATTGAACTAAGTGTAATAATTAAATCATCGCTTTGATCTGCTGTCTACCTATTATTATGCCACAAATCATGACAAGAGTAAAAAATGAGGTTATTAATGTAAAGGTTGTTTTACAGTTTACATTATGAACTGCCCGAAATTTTAATTCCGCAACTGTACCTATTATTGAATTTGTTATTTTGTAAAATGTTTTCTTTTTAGAACTACCCCAAAGCACCTGCACAAAAAAACGGGCTCTCCAACGACCAAATGCATGAAACGACCACTTCGATTAAGTTCGTAATGAGCTCGGAATGCAACTTTACCAATTTATTTAAAAAAATACTGCTTAAAAATAGCTATTTATGTCTCAAGTACGCAAAATAGAATTTTAGGGGACCAATCGTAATTAATGATGAGGCGACGTAGGAGCTGAGTCTTCAATGAGAGGAGTCACCTAAAACCTTTTGCGTACGTGGTGTATAGGTACAAGATTTTTTGTTAAAGCTCCCAAAACACGAATTCACACCTCATACTAATTAAAAAAAAATTCGTTACCATAGTAACCAATTTAATTTTTTTAGTTCGCAAAAACTGTTTTTGAGGACTGAGTACCTAAAATAACCGTTTTGCGTACTATCTTACTGAGTCCGGAAAAGACTCATTTTAGGGACTCAAATGAGTCCGCAAAATAGCTATTTTTGAGAGCGTATACAAAAAAATAATTTTGTTTCATTTGAAGTCATTTTTAGATCATAGTTTTTAATTAAAAAAATGTTTCATTAATTTCGGTGAAATACGTTGAACTGCAACAATATCTTACTTAAAAAGTTAAAAACGACAGTATATGGCCAGTGATGCCCAAAATATTGCATAAAATGTCGCCAAAAAACAGTGTTACAATTGCATGTTGTGCAACTGTTTTCAGTTGCCCAAAATGCTCATTGTGACACCGAAATTGAAAAACCAATTTTTTGTTTTGAAAATTTTTAACTCAGTTTTGAATCATCTTGTAGTTAGTAAATATAATTCTTATCTCAATAAATAGGTAATATAAGATCTGTGTTTACTTGTTGATTAGCTTATGGCAACCGGACGTTTATTTCGTATAATTTTTATGTATAAAGTTGTAATTACGCCGGAAACCAATTACAAACAAATTTTTGTTTATGTAATTTTATTGGTCAGGATATTTATCAATTTACAAAATGTACCAAAATGTCGAAAAACGTTGAAAACAAAACATTTCCACAATAATTGTAAGCCTTCAGATTAAATTGGTTGATTGCAATATTCAGAAGAGTAAAATAAGTGTCCAGTAAGTTTGACGTCACAACAGTACGATGTAAAATTATAAAATGAAACTCGATGAGAAATATTAAATTATTACTCGTAACCAATTTTCCGTAATTACATCAACATTGAATCTGTGCCAAGTAAATGTAAAAGTTCTTCGAAAACATATTGAAATTTCTTTTCTTGACGCAAGATTTGTTGAAATTTCTTCGAGCAAACAATATTCTTGTAAAATCCGTGCTGTGACACTGCTGTAATATTCGGTTATTGCACTATTCCGTTCTAACTTTAGTTGAAATATATTACAGGTTAATAAAACCACAAAACAAGCTCAACTAATTGGTCCGTTCCTCGCAATTAGCAAATCTAGCGCGTTTCATGAATGATTCTAGAATTAGTTTCATCCAGGAATAAATTCAATTTCACTGTCACTGAATTAAATTTTGTAAACACCTGTGTTTTGGAAAACCAGGTGTTTTTAACAGAGCGAAACGTCGACATCTAATGCTCTTTTTGTACCAACAAATTAATTATGTTCTCCTCAACTATTTATATCGCCAAAAGCCATCTGCATGTGTTGCCAATTTTAAACGCAAAAAGTTGTATTTCTTCCCAGTCGCGACCAATATTACGTAAGACGAGACGAACATAAATAATTGATTTTAATCGGTTTAATTATTGGTATGTACAATACGTTTTTGTTTATTACTGCAACTTGCGGTTTGCGGTTTAGAACAATTGACATAACTGACCCGACATTTAGTTTATTTACAGACTTGCAACATTGAGAGGAGAGTTACATAAATCATATTACAAATTACACTAATCAATACGCAGGTGGGTTCTTCCACACGAAGACGAATCTATCGTTTTGTATTATTGACGTTTTTTCATGAACACAGAAATAGGGGTTAGGCCATAAACAGAAGGATAAAAATGAAAGGGAGTAATAAAATATGTTCAGTGTCTCGTGAGACATCACAATTACATAACTGTTATCTTCAGGCATTATTCCGTCTTGAGTCATTCTTATTTATGTTTATATTAGGTCTTTCTGCACTTAGATATATGTGGAAAAAGAACACAAATTTGTATCTTCTTAGATAAAATAAGGAAAAAATTGAATTCAAAAACGACAAGCCGGAATAAAAAAATTACTTGTCAATTTATTAAAAAAGCGTTTTTATCTGCTCATTGAAGATGTTGACTGCATTCAACACGTTCTCTAGACTTTCCAACAGCTTGCACGTCTAAATATTTGAAGATGAAGTCATTTCCACGCGTAGTTTTTCAATTTTTCAGGACCGCAATCCTTATAATCTAATCTTCCTCGACGTCAAGACTTTTCATTCTGAAACGCGTGTGAGAGTCATTCTATTAGAACTAGCATCCGTCTACAAAACCGTTTGAACAACTACTTTTTACATCATAAAAAAGAAAATCGATTATGTGCCTCTTCTGGAAGCATTGGCACGTCATTTACTGATTTGCGAGAGCGAAATCAAACCACAATCTTCCTTTTTCAAATCTGAAATGAACTCAACTGTGTTTTATGTTTCGTCGTGAAAGACACAATTTAATTTAGTTAAAAACGACTTGTTCCTAACGACTCGTTTTTAACTAAATGGCCATTTGAAAGTAGACGTGCTTTGAGCTGTTTTAAAAGGAAGCACGTTTTATGTCATATAATATTTTCTAGGATCGCAGAGAGAGCTTTTATTCTACTGGTCCTGCCATCACCACTACTGAAATCTAACACTCATAAAAATAGGAGAAGAAATGTCAATACGTGTAAGTAAATGTGGGTGGAATTGGAGGACGTCGAATGAATTTAATAACAGGATTAATAGGATCAAATTTTGCGAGTTTTAGGACGTTTTTCTTGAATAAAAATGAAACGGAAACCCTAGGTACACTACAATAAAAATTTAAGTCACGCCTAATTTAATACTTCAGTTTGCTAAGTCTCTGATGAATAAATTTTAGTATTGTGTCTTACCTATTTATTGGCTGTAGAATATTCTAATTTTATTACAAGTGAGCAAATTTGCTGTTCCATTTCAAAGCCGAGTGAACATAAAATATTTAAGCCGTAAAATCTGAGATAATTGAGACAATGAAACACGCAAAGAAGAGAACAATCAATTATTGTTACAAAGAAAGTTGAAATATTTTTTAACAATGTAAACTCATTTGAATACAAGAAACAGTCTTGTAGGTAGTTAATTGAATACGACACTGACATTCTTACGTTCTTTTCTTAAAACCTTCATTCATATATCGCTTATCACCCTGACACAGGCATCATAAACTAGCAAATCTATGTTATTGCTTAATCCCGTTTCTTGTATCTCTTTGACTTTTTATCCCCGTTATAGTTCGAGCCGAAGAATTTCGTAATTAAAGAGAAAATCGCAAAGTTGTGCGTTTGGAATTCAGCTCGGTGACGGCATCTGTGAAAGTTGACAAAACTTCCAAATATGTTTTACTTATCGGTTTATAAGAAAGCAGGCTTCTAATAAAAATTAATCAATGAAAAATTCGTCGAGTAGGTTTGCAGCCCTTACCCCCACTAGGACTTAACTTCTTCAGCACCGCTGGAAGCTTTCTTCAGTTGTTAGATGTGCGTGTAACGACCGCTACGCTTCCAAAATTGTGCCGACCACGCATTAATCATGTCCGAAAAATCGATGTTGGTTGCAATGGCTAAGTGCAGGATGTTGCTGTTGTGTTCTTAAGTCAATTTTTGTGTAAACAACAAATTACATTTTCGCGTCGACTCGGCTACTCACGAACTCAAAGCTAATTTTGAAATAAAGCCCGCTATACTGAAGTTGCGATTCACAGAAGTACGCACGACGTCAAGTGGAAAAGACGCGCGCTCCTGAGTAATATGTGGCGTCGAAGTGTGCGAGTTTTTGTTAGTTTATTAATTTGTACGAGATAAATTCGATTGGACCGCACGTATGGAGGTTCATAAGAGTTTCAAGGTAAGAAAAAAATTGGGGTGGTTAAATTCGGGTTCTAAATCACGATTAATGGCGCGTTGTTATGCCCGAAGACCATAAAAACTCTCACTAATTCCCAATTCTATTGCGCCACTGAATAAAGGAAACTCCACAACCCACAAGTGAAAAATCTGAATACATAAAATTCCCATTGTTGGGTAATTTATTCTTTAAGAAAATCAAGCTTCTCTTGATAATTCCAACTTTTTTGTTTGTTTGCTGTCCAATAATATAAATTAGATAATGGGGCTTATTACTCGTTTAAATCTCGAGATTGTTGAAGCTACTCAATAAATTAAAGAAAC